TTCCAATCTCCCTAATTTAAGAGGTAAGCCTACCGGAAAACTTTTACATTTCATTCAGACATTGTCAACAGTCAACTTGCGAATGCATGTCAGAAATGGCTAAACATGTGGTTTTACAGCTAGACATCAGTTAAATAACTCCTCATACTTATATAGACTCCAGAATTTCTCAGAACAAATTGGACTCCAAATTAACACCGCAAAAGCAAAAATTCTAGACCTTACCAACAGTTCAGTTGCTATCACGCTGAACAACAACAGCCTTGAAAAAGTCAACAGTTTCACTTATCTAGGGATCAAGATGTCATCTACAGGAGATACCGCACCAGAAATACCATTTAGAATAGCACTGGCATCTAGTACCTTCAATAAACTGTCCAACATCTGGAAATCAAAGACACTTAGCAAACACACAAAACTCAAGATCTTCAATTCTTGTGTGATTCCAGTACTAACCTATGGATGCGAGAGCTGGAAATCAACGAAAACTCTAGACACAAAATTAGACAGTTTTGAAAATAAATGCCTTAGAAGAATACTAATTTGCAAATGGTCAGATTTCCGAACCAATAAACAAATAAGGCAAGAATCCAGGCAAGAGTATGTGTCTAATTTTATACGAAAACGCCGCTGGAACTATGTCGGTCACGCCCTTAGAATGGATAAATCAAGACTTCCTTACCAAGCCCTCATTTGGACAAAACAGGGGAAAAGATCTCGTGGAAGACCAAGGGAAACCCTACGTAGAACTATCATCAGGGAAGGCTCGCTCATGGGCCACTCAAACATCCAAGACCTACAACAGATTGCAACGAAAATCCATACATGGAGAGTTATGACCTCTGCCCTATGTGCCGCACTCGACACAAGAGGAAAGACTAACTAATAATTATATCAATATTTAAACCTGAGTAAAGTGTACCAAATATATATTTAGGCTCTCCTTTAAATAACGGTCCCAAATGATCTACGCAGAAAGTTAACCCTAACAGAACCTCATTACGTCCTGACCTACAAACATTTAAAAGCTGTAACTCGGGAAATATAAGGAACGAAAAGTATGAGGAAAAGGGGAAATTCTACTACTTACCAATAATGAAATCCTTTATACGTGAAAATTGTGAACTTCCTTTTTTGGCGACTAGAGTGGCGCGGAAGGGACTAAACTAGATGGCTAGGACTCATGAGCAAATGTATTGGAGGAAGCTTCAGGAGCTGCGGTAGCAGCTGCTCGTGAGTCCTAGCCATCTAGTTTAGCCCCTTCCACGCCGCGCGTAGCGGCGTCGTAGCGGCGTGGGAGATACTCTTGGAGAAGGCACTATAGTCAGCGAAAAGCGGTCCGCAAGTTACATATAACTCGGGCCCTGGATAGTGCTATATAGTATTCTCGCGTGTCGCTAATTTTTTTCGTCCATAGTTAATCCTAATTTCACGAAAATGTCATGCGCAATTAATCCTACTTTTGACACGGTTGAATCGCCGCAAAAGAAATGTGAATTTTAGATATGAGTGAGGCTCTGTTTGGGTTTACTTTCTGCGTAGATCATTTGGGACCGTTATTTAAAGGAGAGCCTATATTTATAATAGTTAAGTTGAGTCAAGAATTCACATCACAGCACTCAGGGCATTCCCATGCATGCTCTGTCCTAATTTTCAGCAGCAAGTGCAGAGTTCCAATACTGATGGTACCAGTCACAATCTGGTTATAAGTCCATCTTGCCTTTCCTCTGAGTGTAGTGAGCTGGCCAGACCCCCTGGTTACACCCAGGTGCCTCATTCTCTCCAGGCCATAATAATCTTGTTTTTCTACTGATTCCGTTACTTGTTTCTAAAGGGCCTTGACCACATCTGCCTTGTCATGTTTAATTTCACTACTCAGTGCTGCAGATCCAGCCAGTCTGTCTGCCTTTTCATTACTTACCACGCATAGCCTAGAGAAAAGATCCAAAGTATGCTCACTACCCGTGACCTTCCCAATGAAGCTTGCCACTCTGCATAAAGCATCCCTGCCTTTAGCATTCTCAGCATGCTTTCAGAGTCTGTTACAGTCATGACATGTGTATACATCTTGTTCTATAGCCACCAGAGAGCTGCAGTTACCGCCTCCACCTCCATTCTCATGCTAGATGTTGTGGTGTCTTATGCTAGGCTGTCTTGCACAAAAGATTTTCCATTGGATTTCGCTACGAACCCCCAGGTGCTTCTCTTTCCTCCCAACACTGAACCATTTTTATAGATAATCAGATCTATTGGGCGTGAACTGTCGTGAATCAACTGTTGGACTTCCACCTTAGTAGCACCCGCTGGCCACTCTCTGCACTTCCGGCCCAATGTGATCAAAACCCTACACAGGTCAGACATTTTCTCTGGTACTCTAATCCACTCCTCTCCTTGCTCAATGTTCTCCAGCATGCGTACTTGTCTTATTGTGTCTTCTGCTTGAGCCATCCACGATTTTCCTCTTTTTAGCCTCTGACCCTTACCTGCAGCCAAAGCTTCATACAGAGGGTGTTCTTTGTCTGCAGCTACTCTGAGGTATGACTTAGCCTGCAGCACCTTTAGCCTGTCTGTAATAGTCGGCAATGCAAGGATATATTGCATGCACACAATGGGAGTGTTTCTTGTACATCCCAGGATCACCGGGTCACCCGCATATCTTCGTTCTGTGTGCGCTCGAGTTTCTCTAGCTGACTCTTTAATACAGTGAGTAACCCCAATCCATAATCTTCTTCTTCGCGTTTACCGACTGTAAACTGTGGTGGAAAGTTCTGGTTGTTTGTCCACTTCTGGACTGCAATCCTGTTCCATAAACTGAGTGTTGGATGTGCATTCATTTGACAGATGTGACTAATTTGTTTGCAGACTGTTGGTTCCTCGCCTCTCAGACAGATGTACTACGACTTCAAAGGAAGCTCTCAATTAGTCAACTGTTACGATATGCTTTTGGGTAGGCAGTGGGTCTATTTTTTTTTCCTATAATAGGACACCGGAACCCACATGATGAAATGCATAATCAATCAATGCGATGATTAAGGGCTGGTTAAGTGTTAGCAGCGTTCTCTGCTTCATGTCCATCGCAGCCATAATCTTTATTTTATATAGAGATTATGGCAGCGATTCTAAATTTAATAATAATATATAAGTGGCAACTTACTGTCCCGATAAAGCATAGTGATCAGCGTGGCTGTTATTACAGTAATTTTATTGACATGACTTAAATTTTTTTCGTATTAAAAATTATTTTTATAATATTATTTTCAAATAAATGATGATTTATAGGACTGATAGTTTACCTCAACATTTAACTGTCACTGTGCAGTCTCTGATACCCAACCCAGTTGCACTACAGTTTACTTCATAACCATCAGATGCTCTAGTATGAGCTGACTCAGTGTGCATACCAGGCTCACATAGGGGCCTGCACATCACTCCCAACTATGAATAGAAATACAGTACTGATCAACTACTTACGATCAACTACATACGATTTAATGGGGTTTCTGGTATTTGTTGTACTTCTGGGGGAGGGGGTCTCATCTGAATAGTGGCTCTTTGAGTCACCAGGTGTAGATGCCTGAAACTAAAACAAAGACAAACTCAGTCAGCAAAGAAGTGTAACAGGTTGTACTGCCACACTCTGTTCGCTTGTTACAAGAGAGAAATCTGCAACTAGCATGATAACACTGCGCTTCTCAAGATTCATGGATGTCACCAAAGTGGAGACTTTAGACTTACCTAGGCAAGAGATATACTTATTTATACAACACAGAAAGACTGTCTACATGCCCAGAACATGACAAACTCAGCTGCCCATGCATTATTTGGGCTAACCATGGTAACAGTGAGTGGTGCAGTGAGGGCAAAGTTCAGGAAGAATATGCCCAGCACAGCCCGACATATTGTTATTGTAATGGACTCAAAGAGCATGCTTCAGAAAAATTGCAACTGGTACCCTGCTTGTGTAGTGGCTTGCATTACTTGATAAGACTCAAATCAAGAGCTTGTCATGGATTTTCTGTCCATTCTATTCAGGTGCCCGAGATAATGAGCAGGCTGATAGATTAGCTGCTGCCATTTCTCTGGGCTGTGAGCTACTTTATGATAAAGCTTCGCATATTGAAGGCCCTATGAGATCAGATTGACAGTGCAGTAAAACAGACAGAGAATCTGTACATTGAAAGCTCAATCAGTGTCCTCCTCATCTTTTCAAATTCACTCTCTAGCTGCCTTCTGCATGTGGTGTTGGGTCTGCCTTTATTTCTGTGCCCCTGTGGGTTCCAGTGCAAAGACATTGTAGTTATATTATTCTCAGGTTTCCTTAAAGTGCATCCTATCCAACGCCACCATCTTTTCTTCATCTCTTGGTCTACTGGAACTTGTTTAGTTCTCTCCAAAAGCTCAACATTAATGATTCTATCATACCATTTAATTTCCTTTAATTCACCAGTTAATGAATGTTTATAGTTTATTAGTATTTTGTTCTCTTCAGTTTACCTCCATGTTTCCATTCCATACAACAGTACTGATTTGTATTCAAAATTAAAGACTTTGAGTTTAGTATTAGTTTTAATTTCTGTTGACCTCGATAAATTTCCTTGTGCGCAAGGAAAGTATCTCAGGACACATATTTGCCAAAGTGCCTAACTAGAAATATGATTTTTTTTCTTTTATTATAAAATATTCCCCCCCCCCCCCTCCCCCACCCAACCCCTTTCCCAGTCAAGATTGTCACATTGCCGGAACAATGACAATTACAGTGCTGTTACCATTTCCGTTTTGTTTCTTTTTTGAGATTTCAATTTTCTATTAACTCTTTGAGTCCCAAGGAACGCATCATACATTAATAGATTCCTACCTAGAAGCCCAGTGAACACAAGATGAGCCAATTTTATGTCTGTCTTGACTACCCCTTGGGCCTGTCATGCTAAACCCCCTGGGACTCAACGAGTTAATGATATTTTAGAAGTAGTAGTTGATCAGTACTGCATTTCTATTCATAGTTGGGAGTGATGTGCGGGCGCCTATGTGGACCTGGCATACACACTGAGTCAGCTCATAGAACAGATGAAGACAAGATTTTACATTATTTGAACACGCTGTCTGCACAAGAAATGAGGTGTGTAATTTAATTATAGAAATTCTCATAAACATGCGGTTGTATTCACGCATGCACATGCATGCGCACACACGCACACCACACACACACACACACTCACTACATATATATATATATATATAATATATATATTTATTTGGTTGAACCCACATGCATATACATACATATGTAGTTGCTTGTTCAGTTGTTTATTCTGGGAAGTTAAATATTCATTAAATAAATACTTGCAAACATTAGTTTCTTAAACCTAGTATTTTTATTAATGTGCAGTATACTTATCTGAGAGAAACCTATTGAGGTAGCTACATTATTATGCCACACTGAGCTGGAACCAGTCTGATGGGTTTCTGTGGCAGTGGTCAAGCCTTTTGCCTCATGCTTTGAAGGTTGTGTTTTCATTTCACGTTTGGTTTACAGGTGCAGTTTTTATAGAGACGCCTGTGGATCATTGCCGCAGCTAAAATGTTCATGCTTTTTATAATGCACTTGGCAGGCGACTGGCCATTCTAGAGAGAGGTCGAGCCATGTGTGATCAAACCCAGTGAAATTAAGTTGATCATCTCAACTTTTGACTTAATGGACATGGATGTTCGCAACATTATTCAGTCAGACTTTTGAGTTAAATAGGATTAAATAGGACAAGCTATTAAAAAAGTCTGTCTGAAAGTGTTAAGATTGTAGGATCATTCCGTGCGCTGACACAAAGAAAACACAAGGGGTGCTTAAACCTCTTTTCTAAACACACCTTCTGATATCTCACTTTCTTTCAGACAACATTTTTAATTATTTCAGTTGACACATTAAAATCTTTTGCTAGCAGGCGTATGCTTAGACATCAATTCACATGTATGCTGCATCCTCTTTGGCAATGTCTGGGTTTTTTTTCTGTTGCAACATGTGCTTGACTCAGCACTGGAGGTTCTATCATCAACTCACATCTTTTCTGAAACATTCTTGTTCAGTCTGTCACTATGTTCTTCGACACACAGTTGTTACAGTTTCCTGCCTGCATTCAACGAATGTCCACTGGTCGACATCCTTCAAATGAAAGAAACTAATGCACCATTATTTAAGCATCTTGAAGCAGATTTAGGATCAACCTGACCATTTTCTCAGTGGTCAAAAGCAGAACATATACCTAATGGGATGATAAGCACATGCTCTTTTATATTCACTGGTCAGTACTTACCACATGACTATGACATGATTATGTTCAGTGCTTGCAGTTATATGTCGTGCGGCCTGAACAGCTTTCAAATAAATGCTTTTAAAATATAGGTTTATTTCAGTTTTTCCCTGTGTGGGTTCGAGGGGCCGGGGCAAGGGAGAAACCAGAATAGACCCACTGCCTCCCCAACAAGCATGTCGAAAGAGTTGACTAATTGGGGGCTTCCTTCAAAGTCAGAGTGCACCTGCCTGAGAGGCAAGGAAACAACAATCTGCATACAGTTAAGTCAGATCTGTTGAAGGTATGTGCACGAAACACACAGGTTCTGGAACAAAACCTTAAGTCCAGAGGTGAACAAAAAACCAGAACTTTCTGTCGGAGTTTACAGCCAGTGAATGCGAAGAAGATTTCAGTTTTAAAGTAAAAGTAAAGGACCCTTTTCCATGCCTTTAGGCCTTTGGGAAAATAGGGCTAGACCTATATTTTATAGATCAATCAGCACTTGGTGGTTAATATGGTCAGCATCATGCCAGCCGCCTTTACTTCGCATGACTGCACCTGGTACCCATTCAAGGCTGGGTAGACCTGGGAGTCAAGATCATTTTTTTGAAAAATTCTGGCTCCATCAGGATCGGAACCCACCACTTTCTCTCAGTTTTTATAAACAGCAGTAACAATTTTGAGAGCTGTCAAAGATGTAGAATGAAAGTTAAATGCATTTGTAAGCTAATGCCATTGAATTGGATGAATTCGAGAGAGGTGAAGAAATAAGAGAAATATCTGGACAACCACTGGTATCAACAGTTATAAGCCAAAGAAGAATGTGCTGTATAGGACTCATCTTGAGGAGATTTGAGGGAATCACACAGTGCATCCATCCCTCCATCCATTTATGAGAAACAAAACAGAAAAATCTAACTACTGCAAGCATTATCGGTTATAATTGTGGTCTGGTTTCTTTGTGCCAATTATGTTGGCTAAGAAATGTTAATTGCACCAAAACTAGTGGCTTAGACCTGCACTCTAGTACCTAGTGAGGGTTGTTGGGGAGGGGGCTGGTATGCTCTATACACACCCACGCATATATATATATAGACATACAGGTAAATTATATATATATATTTGCAATAACATACACATCTGTGTGTGGGAAATAAATGGACGGGGGAAATGGGGATGTCCATAAGAAACGAACACTACATTGAGCATTAATGAGAGCGGCAAAAGGTATTGACTGGACTCTATCCATAAAATCAAAAGAACTATAAGGATAGAATTCACTGGGGAAATAGACTGGGAGCCCGGTGTAGTGTTTGAAGTTTGAACAACGAATCAACATCATGGCACATGGGTAGTAACCCATAAGTGCTCCGTTATTCTAACTCAAGTCTGAGTCCGAAGAAGCTCAGCACAGTGCACAGGCTCTGTAGGACCAGCGAGGATCCTGAAATACTTTAGGTAGATTTTTAACTCCAAATTTGTGCCTAGGCAGCGCCGTTAGACTACTATTTTTGATTTCCAACTGTCAGGGGATTTTTCCATGCGGAACAATGCACACGGGCTTCCGATCTCACTACCCAGAGACCACGGGAAATACTAGAAGTCCAAATCCACATGAAAAAATCCCAGCCCTTACCGGGGATTGAAGCCGGAACCTATAGTACTCGAGGCAGACACCATGCCTCGAGACCACGCAGTTCCCACCCCCCCCCCCCCCCCCTGTGTGGTGTTTAACAGCACAACAGCAGGATGATAACTTCAGGACATAACAAGCAGACATACAGACAAACACTTAATGGACCAGCATGTTATTATTTGTTTTGCTATGATTTGATGTTTCTTGATAATACAAGAAATTTAATTTACAATTGTGTCTTCTAGACAGGAGAAAAATATCTCCCTGAGGTTGTCTGAACTGCTGTGTCAGTATCGAGAATTAAATGGCCCATTTCAAACACTGAAGGATGTAGAAAAGATCAAGTACATTGGATTCAAAAGCTTTAAAACTCTATGTGAAAGACTAACAGCTGGTAGTGTTAAAACTCAGAAAGTCAGCATGGATAGTGAAGATTCATTTTGGAAGTACATTAGCCCAGAATTGACACCACAATTTATTCAGGTTTGTATTAAAACAGTTTTTTTTTTTTTTTTTCACTAATTGTAATTTTAATGTGTACAACATAATTATGTATAAACAGGACACTGTAGGCCAGGGCTATTGAACTAAGTTTACTCAGGGACCAAAGTTCTGAAAATGGGTATCGTCACGAGCCAGAGGTCCGAGCCCCTGCATAGAAAGATCTTCAATACAGTATAACTAGCAATGATACGCAGACTACTTGTTAGGCCACTGCCGGCCATTTTAGCCCGAAGGTTGCCAGTTTAAACAGCCTGTTCTAGTCTGTAGCTTAAATGATACTTAAAGAGTTCCCCTTTGGTTTCAGAAAACCTTGCAAGAATGACTATAGATTGACATTGTAATCATGATGTCATTTATAAAGGGACAAATTCATTTGTCAAATTGAAAATTCATTGATGTAAGAAAGTTTTTTTTTTTTTTAATTATAGTTATAAACAGGATGATGCATTTTCCAAAGTGAGAGTTTATTGTACTATGGCAGAGTGGCTAGACGCTCGCCACCTGTCGTAAGGTCCTGGGTTCACTTCCTGGCGGAGCCGGATTTTTTCAAAAATGACCTTGGCTCCCAGGTCGACCAAGCCTTGGGTGGGTACCAGGTGCAGTCCCGGGAAGTAAAGGCGATTGGTCTATAAAATATAAGTCTAGCTCTATAGGCCCTATACGCCTAAAGGCATGGAAAAGGGTCCTTTACTTTTACTTCACTTATATTTTAAAATAAAATCTGCAGTGTGCGCTTTTTTTTTAGTTTACAAAGAGGGGAATTGTTCATTTATGTTAAAGATTCACTGCACTAAGAACTTTTCTTGTTGTTATAGGTCTACACTAAGAGCAATGTGTAATTTATAAATAGAAAAATTTGTCTTTTAAAATGAAGGTTTACCTTACATAAGAAAATTGTGTTTGCGTGTGTGGGGTTTTTTTTCCAGCTTTTTTATTTTCTTACAAAGTAAGCTTTTTGTAATTTATATAAGACCAGAAAGGAAGCTTGCTTACTTGTCCTTATTGATTTTATATTGTGGTGGTAGCATTTAAATATTTTTCTTGCATTTGTTTTTGTTTTTTCTTCAACAGTCCATTGCCACTGTAACCAGTCTGGAATTCAGCTTAGATTCTGTGTATTTCTCAACGATTACGCAAGATTTGCAAGTCCTAGACTGGAACCATATAAACCTGCTTACATCCAACTGTCAGAAACAGACACCGTCACACATTTTGGATGAGGTACAATACTACTGTCCGAAGTGTGTTTCTTGTGTTTAGATCTTTTGTCAGTATGCTTTTTGCCTCTTGGTGTCACAGTTTAACAGATGATAGGTAACCGAGCTAAGGTGTGCTTGGTATTATGGTGTAATGTTGTGAAGTCTTAGGCCATCAGTGACTCCTTAAGTCCATATTCTTCTGGGTCTCCCTCTGCCTCCTGGTGTATCCGTTTTCCTGTTAAATGCTCTTGCTGCCAGCAATGTTGGATTCTTTCTCACTAGGTTACCGAACCGTTTTAGTCTTTGTTTGAGAACAAATTTAACGCTGGATATTGTTCCAGGAATTCTTCTAATTTCTTCATTTCTCACTTGATTTTTTCAAGTTGTGTTTAGTTTGAATTTGACACTGGGTATTGTTCCAGTAATTCTTCTAATCTCTTCATTTCTCGTTTGATCTTTTCAAGTCATGTTTAGTTTGAATTTGACATCGGGTATTGTTCCAGCAATTCTTCTAATCTCTTCATTTCTCGCTCATTATATTTCTGCATAATTTTATGTAGACATCACAGGGATTATTTTAAATATAACATGCATTATTGCAATGTTGGTCTGAAAGATGAGTGTTTGGAAGGGCCAAATATAAGACGGGCCTGCAAGCCAAATTTGTAACCCTTTGAAACTGAAGTTTGTTTGTTCATTCTCTTGCTCTCTTCAAGTTTTGTTTAGTTTGCCTGTGAGATAATTAAACAGTTCCAAGTCTCTCACTGGTAATCTCAGGTTGCAAATTAAGATTGCATTTATAATTTGTATGTTTAGATGGAACTGTAGGACAGCTTTCATTACTCATCACAAATCATACAAAAAAAGAGGTGTTCTGTTGTCTCTGAGCCCTTTCTGCTTACATACATATACTATGTTAAAATAATATGTTGTCCCTGAGCCCTTTCAGCTTACATACATAAATTATGTTTAAATAATATGTCGTCCCTGAGCCTTTTCAGATTACACACATAAACTTTGTTAAAATAATCTGTTGTCCCCGAGCCCTTCCAGCTTACATACATAAACTATGTTAAAATGATATGTTGTCCCTGAGCCCTTTCAGCTTACATACATAAACTATGTTAAAATAATATGTTATCCCTGAGCCCTTAAAGCTTACATACGTAAACTATGTTAAAATAATCTGTGTCCCTGAGCCCTTAAAGCTTACATATGTAAACTATGTTAAAATAATCTGTGTCCCTGAGCCCTTTAAGCTTACATGCGTAAACTATGTTAAAATAATCTGTGTCCCTGAGCCCTTAAAGCTTACATACGTAAACTATGTTAAAATAATCTGTGTCCCTAAGCCCTTTAAGCACATACGTAAACTATGTTATAATAAGTTGGAGAATTGACTGGACCCAACATCAGCTGAAGAATACAAGGCAGCTGAAGATATCCTGAGGATTCAGTGTTTTCTCCTGAAACTGAGCACAAATTATAAGTCCTTGTGATCTTCTTTTGGCTTTTTTACTCATTGAATTTCTGTTTTAGCTTTCCTGTGACATGCCCTCAGAATTAGTTTGTTTGTGTATTTTTTTAGGGGGGAGGGTAATTGATAATCAGTTCTCTTTGGAAATCCAAATATCATCATCATGCCTTTTATCTGTCCGTTGGTGTTCTTATGGTTGTGAAGAAAACAAAACAAAAAGGAAACAGAATTATATAGTTTTAAAATGAAGTTATGTACTCGTATTTTATTCTAATGTAGTGTCAGCGTTAATTTATGCCAGTAAAAGTTGGAGTAAAAATGCAGCCAGAACAGCTACCAATGCATGCATTACACATTAAAAATTCTTATGTGTAAGCAAGAGGTCGCTCTAGAAGAAGATGGATTGATGTCATTAAAGAGATTCTACATGGACACGGAATTACAATACCCATTTCTTCAGGTCAGGCAGTGAATCACAAAACTGCTCCTCCCCGCATCGCTTATTTGCAGAAGTGGAAATTGATAATGATATTCTTTCATTTATTTTGAAAATGTACTAATTTTTTTTTTTTTCACAATCTCCTGTTTTTGTCTCTCTTGCAGGCAGTCCGTGTTTATAAGCATCTTCCTAAGTCAAGTATTATTTTAATTGAAAATCGCGTGTCAAGGAAGATCACCACAGCATACTTACAGTACCTGTTATTTATTGCACGCCTACAGATGGCCTTGCAGACATTAATTAACGAAGATCTTACCACGAGCGGACAGCATAAAGTTTTCCACATCAAGGACTCATTTGTCACAAAATCATTTCATCTTCGTATTGGCGGTGAAAGAGTCAGTGGTCAGAATATTGTACAACAAATACAAGAGTATGAATTTTCTCCTGCTGTTTCAGCTGCTGCGAAATTCTGGCACAGATATAACGAACTTGACCAGGATGTTGTGAAAGAGAGATACGCAAATTGTTTGTTATTGTCCCTGGCCTTTTGCAGGCAAGTGTTTGTGAACAAGTCATTAAGTAGTACAGATAGAATACAGCAGTAGTGTATGAAATATTTGTCCTCTTCAATCAAGTCATGAAAGTCCCTGTATGGGTTCCGGGATCTGGTGGGGGAGAAGGGATATATGTAAAAGCATATTATAAAAGGTAACTAATTAGAGGGTTTCCTTAGAAGTCTAAATGTAACGGCCTGAGAGGTAAGGAACCAACAGTTTGCATACAGATAAGCCAAATCTGTAAAACTGATATGCATGCAAAACCGGAGGTTCTGGAACAAGACAAAATCCAGGAGTCGATGAACAACCAGAACTTTTCACAGCTGGTGAATGCTAAGAAGAGGACAAAGTCATTTAATAGTACAGATACACTGGAGTGGTAAATGTCTCCTTCTGTTGATTCATTAAGTAGTACAGATATATCACAGTAGTAGATGCAGTTTCATCTTCTTCTCGGTTTAATTAGTTCAGATACTTTGTGGTAATAAATGGAATTTTCATCTTCTACATAGTCATTAAGTGGTAAAATTACATTGCAGTAGTCTTCTTCTTCTTCTCGTTCACCGGCTGTAAACTCCGGCGGAAAGTTCTGGTTGTTCATCGACTTCTGGACTGCAGTCCTGTTACCGAACCTGAGTGTTGCGTGTGCATCCGTTTGACAGATCTGACTGTTGGTTCCTTGCCTCTCAATCAGATGCACTCCGACTTCGAAGGAAGCTCCTAATTAGTTGACTCTTACAACATGCTTTTGGGTAAGCAGTGGGCCTATTCTTGTTTTTCCATTGTAGGGCCCCGGAACCAACACGGGGATCATTGCAGTAGTAAATGGAATGTCCGTCTTCTTCATTAAGTAGAATGATTACATCACAATAGTGAATGGAATTTTAATCTTCTTCTCGTTCTTTCTTTTTCTTGAAGTAAATTGTTTTTATCTGCTTTGTTGTCTTCCATTTTGTATGTGTATGAGAAAGACGAGAATTCTTTACTGCTATTATGCATCTCCTGGCTAGTTGTCCCCTGACTTCAGCATCTTATTTTGCTAGGGTAGATTATGGGTCTTACTTGAGTTTAGATACATATGGATTTTATATTCCAAGGTTTTTACATCACCAGGCATTCACCGTCATTACTTCTCTTGTTGGTTTAAACAGTTTCTAGACACAGCTTCTTGTACAGCCACCATCTGGGGACTTTTAATGCCCTTTAAATGTATTGTTTAGCTTGTACGAGTATATATTTTGTACAGCTTGTTAGGATGCCAGAAATGTATATTTGGAAAATTTGTGTTAGATTCATATTTTTTGTTATACATGGTTACACTAGTGTGGTGTGGTCATCAAGTCTCAAGCATAAGTCACCTCTGCTGTCCTCCATATGTCTCTGGTACCAATTTCCAAGTTGTAATATTTATTTCACACTTTGCCTCGTGTAGGTGCCGGGGCTCTGTCTTGTGGGAGGGGAGAATAGACCCATCCACTCCCCACCCCCTTTTTTTCTCAAACATGTCATAAGAGGTGATTAATCAGGGGTGTTTCCTTTGGAGTGCATCTGCTTGAGAGATGTAGGACCAGCACTCTGCACACAATAAGCCTAATCTGTAAAACTGGTGTGCTTGCAAAATCAAATTCTGGAACAGATTCAAAGTCCTGAAGTGGACAAACAGAACTTTTCACCAGAGTTTACAGCCAGTGAACAAGAAGAAGAAGATTTCATACTTTCTGATTTGTAAAAGAGTGTCAGCTGGGTAAGAGTGAAAGTACACTTGTTCTTGCAGCGAGGCACATTTAGTGTGTGGAGGTGAGAGGTTCGATTCCAGACCGTGGTAGCTATAGCTTTTGATTTTCATATTGTCTAGTGTGTCCTTCTATCTCTCTACGTCTTTCTGTGAGTGCCGATCAATATATTTCAATTTGTTTATCATACAAACTTGTAAAAAATACCATGTGAGTCTACAGGAAGGAAAATATACTGACATTTATAATTCAGATTGTTTGTTGTTGGTTTGTTGTTGATTACTATAGTCAGTTCCACAGAGCCAAGAAGAAGAAAAACACTGACTTCCTACATGATCTGAGCATCGGGGAGAGTTAGCATCCTGTTCCGAAAGCGAGTTATTTTGGCCTGGCTAAATACCATGGTGGCCTGAAGTGAACAGTAAGGGTTCAGTTTTCAGAAAGCAAGGCAGAGATGACCTAAGGGGACAAGATGTTTCATTAACCAACACAGAACAGACGTCATCAGTCGATTTACACTTGTGGAGCTTTTGAGGAGGAGATCAGAGCACCTACGGATCTGTTCGGAGTGCTGTGATGATAATGCTTTCTAATCACTATATCCTGGGTGAGGACATGTGAGGTGTGGTAGCTAATCAGGAAATTACCATATTTACGCATGTATAGGCCGGACTCAGTTTCTGGGAATATAATTTAAGGAAAAAATTATTTTCTTAGAATTTTGCTGAGGCACTAAACCTGAAACAGTAGAACCTGTAAGCAGTGAAAGATGGGCTGTGTAAGCTAGTCATAGACAGTTTTCGAGACCATTTTGCAGAAAAGTTAAGGGAAATGTGGGGACATGGTTGTGACATCAGGTGGGATGTCTGGCATGTTACAACCACTCGATATTTCCATTAATATGCCTTTTAAGACTCATTTGTGACACTTCTATCACGACTTGACATGCAGTTCGACCGAAGTAATACCAGGCTTTTTTTTTTAAGTATCATTACGTGTCAACATTCATTAAATATCCAACAATCATTTTTACACAATGTCAACATTCATTAAGTTTTTATCAATAATAACAATCATTTGTCAACATTTATTAAATATTTGCAAATAATAATATGTCAGCATTTATAAAATGTTCATTAATAACCACAATTAGTCAACATGCATAGTTTCAAAGTAACAACAAACATGCATAGTTTACCAGTAACCCCAATCAGTCAACATGCATAGTTTACCAGTAACCACAATCAGTTAATATGCTTATTTTACCAGTAACCAGTCAGTAAACTTGTATAATTTACCAATAACTACAATCAGTAAACATAAACAGTTTACCAAAAAACACAGTTAGTCAAAAGTTTATGAGTAACCACAACGAAATCACACATATACATTAAATCTTGCCCTTCAGTCAGTCAGTGACAATTTCTAAGAGTTGATATTTCCCCCCATAACTGACATAGCAACATCTCCAACATCCATGAACCATTGTTTACAGATTTGCCCTAGGCAGAATTATTTAGAACTTCTTCCTCTAGATGCTCTTGAGACTTTATTGATTTCTTTTGTCTGGTCTCTCTTAATTTTTTCAGGTTACTGGCATAATTTTGTTCTCTCAATAGCTCCCGCTTTTGGTTCTCTAGTTTACGCTGATGCTCATTCAAAGCGCGAGTAATTTTTATCAGCTGTAGTAGTTCTTGACGTAGCTCCCGATTCTCCTCTCTTATTCTGTTTGTGTGTTCTGCCAGACATTGCATTGCTTCCTGCAATTATAAGAAAAAGGTCAAACAAACGTTAGTCTCCCCACAGAAAGTAGGTCGCGTTCCACTGATAACTTTCTTGGACTGGTCTAACCTGCTGGGCGTTATAGGTGTACCGCTTTGATGTTTGCTTACTGGGATGTCTTGCATTTACTTCTTTTACTCCAAGAAAGAGAAAGCCTGTGACATAGGTTTCATCACTCTCTAAAGGGGTTGTGTGTTGGATCCAGTTTGTCGATGTTTTTGTAGTGTTAAAAGCGCTGGAATGCTGAAATATAGAAGACGCGATATCAACGGCTTTGGGGAACACCCCCCTCACCTTACCTCAACTCTTCTTCTTCTTCAGCATTTCCAGTCCTTGAGGTTCAGTGCTGCAGATATCACTCGCCTCCATTCACTTCTCTGGCTGGCCTTCTCTTTCCAGTTGGTGACACCAACTGTTTGCAGATCTGGACATTATCTCTTCATCGTCTTCTTGGTCTGCCTCATGGTATATGACCATTCATCTCCCTTGTGTATACAGTTTTCACTTCTCTGTCATCTGACATTCTTTCAACATGCCCCACCATTTCAGTTTATTAGCTCTCATGATGCCACTTATCAATGATGATTTAAACAGATTATGAATTTTGTTGTTGCTTCTCACTCTCTATTCCCCTCTATTTGCATCCAATACCCAACTCTTGTTGAAAATGAACATGTTATTAGAAGTCTTTTTTCCCTGACTAAATATAAGATGGGAAAATATACATAATATGTTTAGTGGCTTATATTATATCCAGTTTCAAATGGTGCATTCCTCGATACCGAAAGAGTTAAACTGTCCACCTCAGAAATTGAACCCTAGTACTTGAGGATCACGGAACTGTTAAACTCATTCACTAACTGTAAGCCACAGAGTCGCATAATTACAAGTAAACCTGTTATTTATAGTATCCGAAATAGAGGATGGGTGTGACTGTTGTAAACACAGTTCTGTATAATATGCAATAGTTGTTTATCCAACATGTGTTAAATTTATAAAATTATTCTGGCTGCCTCAGTTACAGTAGCTTCTTCTTCTTCTTCAGCATTCTGAGCCCTTGAGGTTCATTGCTGCAGATATCACTTGCCTCCATTCATCTCTCTGGTTGGCCTTCTCTTTCCAGTTGGTGACATAAAGTGTTTACAGGTCTGTCTGGATATTATCTCTCCATCGTCTTCTTGGTCTGCCTCATGGTCTACAACCATTCATCTCCCTCATGTATACAGTTTTTACTTCTCTGTCATCTAACATTCTTTCAATATGCCCCAACAATTTCAGTCCATTGGCTCTCATGATGCCAGTGATCAGTGGTGATTTAAACATATTATGAATTTTGTTGTTGCTTCTCACTCTCCATTCACTGCTATTTGCATCTTTGATGGGTCCAAAGATTTGTCGTAAGACTTTTTTCGAAAACCTGTAATGAGGCTTCATCTCTTTTAGTCGAGCTGCAAGTTTCAGAGCCATATAAAACGACTGGTCTTATCAACGTTTTTTATATTTTGATCTTGGTTGTTGTGAGACAGACACTTTGACTTTAGCAGATGTTGAAGGGCATAGTATACTTTATTTCCAGATTGTATTCTAGATTGTATTTCTTCTTTCAGCATGTTGGAGCAGTTGAAGTTTGCAACCAAGTACTTATATGTTTCCGTTCGTTTGATTTTCATATTATTGACTTTTATGTGGCCGAAGTTGATATCATTTCCCTGTCTAGTTATTATCATGCATTATCATTATTATCATGTGTTACAACAGCTTAATATAAATATTTGCTAGAGAGCAGCACAGCCCGACATGTTGTAATTGTGAGGAACTCACAGAGCATACTTCAGAATATTTAAACTGGCGTCATGCGTACAGGGAGAGGCTTTCATCATTTGATAAGACTCAGATCAGGGGCATGTCATGGATTTTCTGTCCAGGGTATTCAGGTTTGCGAGGTAAGGAGCAGGCTGATAAATTAGCTGCTGCTAACCCATTGGGCAATGAGCTACTTTATGATAAAATGAACCTGGCGAAGGCTCTCTGGGATAAAACTGATCGTGCAATAAAACAGAGAATCCATACATTGAAAGACTAATTCAGTGGGTGATGAGTAGAGATTCTGCAAGATATTCAACACTGATGGAGGAAAGAAAGGTGGACTTTTAATCAGGTTGCAATTGGTACTATTTTCATGTCAACTCTTTAATGGCTACCAAAGAAGCAGACGGAGCACCTGTGGGATTGTCTGAGTGCAATGATATCAATTCATTCAAAATATTTGCTATTTTTTTAGGACATCCCTGTCTGTACTCCTGGGTTGGCTATAGTACACCCACTGTTGTCTTCGGGAATACCACGTGGTGAGGCAGCAGTTTCTTCCTCTGTGTGACTCTTGTTCCATCAACCCACACAAAAATGGGAACCATACTTACTTTTTTTTTAACCTCTATGATTCTCATAATGATATAGCTGATGTCTGAGATATTAATAATGACATCGCCAAACTCAAGGGGTTGAAGGCTGGCTGCAATGGATCTACAACATTCTCCATCCTACACCCTGGTTCAACACTCACACTCCCTTTCAGTCTTCTGTTTATCTGTTTATGTTATCCTCCCACTTGTATCACAGTCTACTTCTTGCTCACCTGCTTTTAACACTCTGCCCCTGTAGGTTTTTTCATATGAATGTTATCTTTCTCTCTCTCTCTCTCTCTCTCTCTCTCTCTCTCTCTCTCTCTCTCTCTCTCTCTCTCTCTCTCTCTCTCCCTCCCCGCCCCTCTCTTTCTCTCTCTCTTATTATTTTTGCCAATGAAATGTGATCATTTATTCTGTTTATCTACAGCTTTAGTTTGACTTTGACTTTCTCAGTGCTTGCTCATAGTCTACATTTTTACACTAGATTTCTAAATACATCACATTAAATAACAGAACAGTCACTGAAAAAAATTACCTTATTGGCTTTCCTTTCCAAAGTTTGAATTTTAAACTCGGAGTCTTGCTGATATTTATGCTTCTCGTGTAGAAAGTCTGCTTTCATCCGCTGTATTCGTTCTGTATGTTTTGCACGGAGCTGGATCACTTGCTGCTCCAGGTCATGTATTTTTTCTAGTTGATCTTTTTGTAATTCCTGATATAAATTTACCAACTGTCAGTAACATTATTTTGTAATTTAATTTATGCTCAAAGCTTTTTTGTTTCTAGAAAAAGTTGTTGGTACTCACCACAAAATATCTTTTAAAAAAATGTTGGTAATCACCACAAAGTGTCAATTACAGAAGCATTGAAAAAAATGATACCCAAACATAAATGCTGGTAATGGATTCTTTTGCATAGCACCAGAAAAAAAAGCCATGTTTATACTGTAGCTAACATTGTCGGCGTCTCTGGCTTAGGCATGACGAACGTGCTTCCTAATGCCGGTATGCAGGGTTCGATCCCAGCTGCGGACAATCTGTCTTGCGTTGGTTTCGACAAGTGGTATTGACAGCTGGCCGTTCAGAAAGAAATGGCAAACTCCTGAGCGTAAAATTTGCCTAGAAAAACCACAACAGCCAAATAATGCTGGGGTTGGTTCTGCAACATCCTGTAAAGGATATGCAACTAACTTTTTTTTAAACGTTGTTCAAAGTGTTAAACATCTTTAAAATCTATCACATTGTCTTAAACATATCTTATTTATTTTATGTGTATAAGGCCTTTGTTCTTCTTTTTCAGCTGCAGCTGCTTCTTCTTCTATTAGATTCTTTCAGTTTCTGTATCACTAACATCTTATGCCCTATTTCCTCCTCCTTCTGTATGTGCATCTTTATCTATCTTGTAATTTTTTCTTCATTCCACCCCCCCCCCCCTCCCCCATTTGATTTAGTCTCAGTCAACTTGCCAGGCAGCAGGATTGTTTCTCTTATAGTCTGATCTCTATCCTTTCACCTGTCTGGTTTGAGAGACCTTGCTAGTAACTATTTTACCAACAGGTAACCCTCACAGTCAACTCATAGATTATTTTCTTGGTGCTGAAAGAGTTAGGCAATAAGGATTCTCAAAGTCTCAGTAGGCGTGACTAGGTCTTCTAAGTCAAACTTCAATATCCAGTTTAAAGGTTACACAATGATACCTGAAGGTGGGGAAGGGGGGGGTGCGATAGAATAGTGGCTAGACACTCGACTGCCAGCCCAAAGATCTTAGATCTTGGATTCAAATCTGTGTTGAGGTGGATTTATTTTTTGAAGGTTGACATTGGCTCCCAGGTTGACCCAGCCTAAAATGGGTACCAGATAATGTCCTGGGAAGTAAAGGTGGCTAGTGCGATGTTGTCAACATCCCCACCAGGTGCTCTGATCTATAAAAATACAGGTCTAGCATCATATACCCACTGCTCCCTTGACTTAAAAAGAGTCCTTTACTTACTTTACAATGGTACTGGGAACAACTAAGCCTCATAACAATTTCTTTGAAATAGGATCCCTTTTCTATGCTCTGAGGTGTTGTTTATTGTCTATATGGTACTTTTTCTTCTTCTTCGCATTTAGAGGCTGCAAACTCTGGCAGAAAGTTCTAGTTGTTCGACTAATTCTGGACTTTAGTCTTGTTCCAGAACTTGAGTGTTATTTGTGTATAGACTTTTGGTTCCTTGTCTCTGAGGCAGATGCACTCAGACATTGAAAGAAACCCCTAATTAGTCAACTTTTACAACACGCTTGATAGGTAGGAAGTGGGTCTGCTATTGTGTTTGCCCCACAGTAGGGCCTGGAACCCACACAGGGAGTATATGCTACTAGATAGGGATTTTTTTTTTTTTTTAATAGAAAAGAAAAAGTGCGGACACTCATCACAAAACTTCTTCTTCAGCATTCCGAGCCCTTGAGGTTCATTGCTGCAGTTATCACTCGCCTCCATTCATCTTTCTGGTTGTTCTTCTATTTCCAGTTGGTGACACCAAGTGTTTGCAGGTCTATCTGAATATTATTTATCCATCGTCTTCTTGGTCTGCCTCGTGGTCTACGACCATTCATCTCCCTTGTGTATACAGTTTTCACTTCTTTGTTATCTGACATTCTTTCAATATGCCCCAACCATTTCAGTATATTAGCTCTCGTGATGCCAGTGATCAATGGTGATTTAAACAGATTATGAATTTTGTTGTTGCTTCTCCCTCTCCATTCCCCGCTGTTTGCATCTTTGATGGGTCCAAAGATTCGTCATAAGGCCCTGTACTGTTGTGTACGGCCAGAAAAAAATACTTATAAAAATATTTATAGACTAATTAGTATTTGATGAGTGATATAGTCAGTACTGACTATTTTGTAGAATGGACTAACTATTTTGATAATGGAAGACAACAAAATTAGTTTAAAAAAAACGTTAATCAGCAAGTCAATCTTAGGTTACTAACCTTGTACTCCTGCAGTTCTTTAAGTTCCTTGTTAGCCTTTGCTAAAACATGCTGCTTTTCTAGGAGGAGAGTTTCTAAAACTGCAGAAGACAGAATACATGTACAGTCTAAATTTATAACAAAAACTATTCTCTGGATATCTCGAGAACTTGATAATCAGGTAATTGCAGTTCCTACTTCAAAGCAAATGGGTGACTTCATAGTTGCTCCGTTCAAATGCCAATTAAAACTATAATATAAGAAAAGGGGTTCTGGAGAACATCACGATGACTTAAATGAACAGAAGTAGATGAGGCAGAAATTGACCAAGAGAGACTGTGCTAGATTTTGAGGGGCTTCAAATGAAAACCTTGAAAGAGTTATAGAAATCACAATAACCATGTCTTCTAAACTGTCAATATTGTTGTTAAGGGTATCAAGAGTGTTAAGCACATGACATCGCAGTGCTGATGAACATGGTGATGACAGAATGACAATTTAAAGATAATCACCTCACTTTTGACATGCACTAAAGGGAAGCAGCATTGTGACGTCTTTTTTTTTAATTTTATTTTATATTTCCGAAGGGGTGGAACATGAAAATTCATCAGTGAATAGAGGTCCAGCATGATAAAGCATGCCTGTCAAACCAGCAAGTGTATGAGAGTAGTAGGAAGTTTCAAAATGGTGTGACTTCTGTGACGACTGGGTCAGGCACACTGCAGTCCTGTTCAAAAACCTGGGTTTTGCGTGTGCATCCGTTTGACAGTTCTGAAATATTTGTGTGCAGACTGTTGGTTCCTTGCCTCTCAGGCAGATGCACTCCGACTTCAAAGGAAGCTCTCAATTAGTCTACTCTTACAACATGCTTTTGGGTAGGTTGTGGGTCTATTCTTGTTTTCCCTATAATAGGGCCCCGGAACCCACATCAATCCAATTTAAAAAGCAAGAAAATAAACTACATAATTATAAGAATTCATGGGGTAGAATCCATCACACTCTGCCTGAGACTGAAATAGTTAAGATAAAATCTAATCATTTAGTAGACACAAAGTTTTATATTCAAATTAATTTTTTTACTTACAATCTTTTGTGTGTGGGTGTATGTGTGCATGCAAGTATGTGAGCATGTGTGATCAAGCCCATTGTAAAATTATTATTTTTTTTCCAATCTATGAACTTCATCTTCTTGTTAGCGTTCACCGGCTGTAAACTCTGGTGGAAAGTTCTGGATGTTAATCCCCTGTTGAATTTATGACCTTATTCCAAAATTTGAGTTTTGCGTGCACATCCATTTTACAGTTCTGGATTATTTGAATGAGAAACTGCTATTTTTTTTTTTTAACTCTGACTTCAAAAAATACCCCTAATTAGTCACCTTATTTGACAAGCTTGTTGGTCGGGAGATGGGGGGGGGGGTGTCGTTTATTGCACCCCTTTTCCCACAGAAGCCAAGAAATCTCATAACTGATAATGGGTTTACCCTTTCTGACAGTAACAAAGTCATTCTGGAAATTTGTAACCTATCAATGTCAAACATGTCAGATTAAAGAAACTATAAAAGTGTAAATTTGTACCTTTCTTTTTCTCATTAAATTCTTCCTCCATGTTTTGTCGTTGTAACTGCAGATTTCTGATCTCTTGTTTATTGTGATCATTTAGGGTTATAATTGTCGTCTGCCTTTTGTTTGTCTTTCTTTCCATGAAGCTCATGTACTCATGCTGTGGGTAGCAATATGTTTAAATGCAGAGATTTTCAAGTGTTGCCCAAACTGCCACTCATGTATTACCAGGACCCTCATATCAAGCAAAGAATATTAATACTGCACTCTATCATGTATGTCATGAGAAATGACAACAGCTAAGGTAGGGCTTAGGGTTGGCCACCTCATCCCCTTTTTTGAATTAAAAAAGCACCAGAACCAACCAACTAAGGAAAAGTCCAGAAGAGAATTAACTAAAAGGTATAGGGCAGCAGAAGAAGAATCAGTATGTTGCTGCTAACTGTCTTCATAAAAGACCAATTAAGGCAAACCAAAAAGAGAAGCGAGCTAGAAAATGAAGTTAAAAAGACTGGGAGGACATGGGGATGAGATGCATGCAATAGCAAAGGATAGGATGACCTGGCATGAGTTGGTTGACGGCCTATGCTCCATTGGAAGAAGAAGAAGCAGCAGTAGGAGGAGGAAGAGCATGAGCAGAAGATACAAACTGCATGATCAAAATATGGGTCTGACTTAAGGTTTCTTTTTAAATAACTTCATATCAGTTGCAGAAGAAAACTAATCATTATGAAAGTTAACATTGAAAATAAAAGATGCATCACCTACATAGCGTGGTCTTTAGTGAAATCATATAGAGTACCAAAGATTGATTTTTAAAACAATGCTTTTTAGTATTGATTGAATGGCCCTCTTTTTGTTTGTGTGTGTGTGCTCATGTGTGTGTGCGTGTGACTATGTACAAGCACTTATATGTGTTTATGGGTGGGTGGGTGTGTGTGTGTGAGAGAGAGAGAGAGAGTGAGACAGCATGGACTATGGGAAGAAGAACATGGTCATCATTTTTTTTTTAAATTTGAATTTTAAACATCAAACAAGGTTAAATCATGTACAATAAAATAATTAATCCTCATGTGAATATCAGGAAGCAAACAATGAACCTTATTTAAAATATGCTTCATGGAAAAAGGACTGACTTGACTACATTGGATTTTGTCCTACACTGATCAGTTCTCGCTCCACAAAGTGACTGTTTCCCTGATGAGAGTGTCATATAGTATAAAACTCTGTATCTCTAGTATCCAAACTTTCAATGCTTAGCTTTTACAAGAGGGGTACCTAATTGGTCATGTTCTTAGTACACTTGTTTCCATAGTTAGGCACACATGCCTTCTGGAGGTGACAGGTTCAATTACCGGCACAGTAACTACTGCTTTCGATTTTTGTGTGTCTAGTGAGACTTTCTATCTTTGTACTTCTTTCTGTAAGTGCCGATCAGTATACTGTCTATTTGTTTATTATATATATAATATTAGTTTTTACAATAGCTTCAATGGAGTTAATTTTTTTATTCTTTCATTACCAGAAGAATGTGTCATAGGCGATGCTGATAAAGAAGTATTTGTAAGTGCAATTTTTACAGAGATCCCGGGGGATTGTTGTCAGAGCTATGGAATTCATGCTTTGTATGACGCTCTCAGCAGGCGGGTAACCATTCTGTGGAGAGAGATTGAGCCATTTTGGATAAAACCAGGTGCAATGAAGTTAATCCTTTTGGGGGGACGGAAGGTGGAGGGCATATATATTTATTTAGCCAATAATGTGATAAAAAATTGTCTTTACTGCCAGCATTTACTCCTAGTGGTTTTGACCCCAGGGGAAAAAAAGAAGGGGGGAGGGGGTTATTCAAGCCTGAGGATTACGGGTTACATGGCTAGTGCAATCACCACTGTGCACATTCGGATTTTATGCCATCTATCAGTTGTCCTAATTCTTTCTGTCCTAAGCAACCCAAGATGTGTGTTCAGCTATGTCTCTGTAGAAGCATGGTGTGTTCTTGTATGGTTTTAATTTTGACTGAGCAACTATAGAAACCTGGCCAGATAGTGTAATGTGTAGCACTGTAACTGATGCCTCTTTGAAAGTTACAGACCCCTGCTCTTTCACTGTGAATATAAAAACCATAGGCATCTCTGACAAGTTATTCTGGTACTGAAAGAGTTAAATCTGAACATATCATCAGTGCTGTGATACTCACACTTTCTATTCTAATCTTTTGAGCTTCATTTTGTAGCCACTCATGTTCCTGCCTTCTGAGAAAAAGTCAAGGACATTGAATAATTCATATGTTTTGTAAAGCTCATAAAATTCTTGTACTATTAGTGTGTACATTTGTTTTTGATTCAAAAGTAGATGTACGGGTGTGTATTTTTGGACCTATAAAAAAGAAGAAGAAAAACTTTCAAACCTTTAATGCATCAGGCATATAGTTCTAGACTATTATATTATAGACCAATCAGCTCTAGATGGATGAGAGGGGCACTATAAAATTGGCTATCAGGACATTCCCTTGTACCTGACCTGATGCAGATTGAACCCTTGACCCTAATACGGATCTATTTTATGCATGTTTACGTATGCATGGAACGTCTTCTTCCTCTTCTTCTTTTAATCCATACTATGTCTGTTTACTGTCCTGTTTGCTGCCAGTCATTTCTAATACAGACAGATGTCAAATCAGTATGCTAAACTATCCAACATGTTGATGGGGAACAGAATAGGCATGACTTACCAAAGACCCGGACATAAACCACTGACAAGTTGTGTTTTGTTACATATGATTTACATATCATATAAAAATTGTCAGTTTGGTATCTCCACAATGTATGAGTTAATTAGTTAGTTAGCTAGCTAGCTAGCTGGTTAGTTAGTTAGTCTTTCCTCTTGAGCCTAGGGTAGAGCATAGGGCAGAGGTCATAGCTCTCCATGTCTGGCGGTTCATTGCCACCTGTTTTAAGTCTTGGATGTTCATTAGGTTAATGGTTTTGCCTTCTCTGATGATGGGTCTATGCAGGGACTCTTGGTCTTCCCCTTGTTCTTTTCCCTTCTGGTTTTTCATATAAGGGCTTGGTGGGGAAGTCTGGTCTTATCCATTCTGAGTGCATGGCCAATGCAATTCCAGGGCGCTTTATTTCTTATACAATTGGTTGCATTATTTTGCTTTGTCTCTTGCCATATTTGCATACTGGATTTCAAATCTGTCCAGAATGTATGATTTAAATACCTAATATTGTCTTCATGCAGATATGCAACCATATAATGTCCTTTATTCTATCAGTATATGTGTAATATATCTGCAGTGTGACCACTGGAAAGATTTGTGAAAAGAGAGACGGAGGAAGACAGCGCGAGAAGATTCTTGACATGGCATGGAACATACATAATGACACATGCAGTTGCGGATTATAGATTGTGCAGAGGCATGATTGCCCATGCCAGTCAGCAAGGCACTTGATGATGATATGTGTAGTCTTCTTCTTCTTCTTGTTCACCGGCTGTGAATTCCGGCGGTAAGTCACGGTTGTTCGTCCAAAATGGACTTTTGGCTTTTACCTTGACCTGAATTTTGCGTGTACATCCGTTTTACTGGCTTATTTGTTTGCAGTACTCGTTCCCCGCCTCTCCGGCAGATGTACTCCGACTTCGGAGGAAGACGTCAAGCCTATTTCTAGGTTGACTGTGGCCATTGTTTTGTGTGGGTCGAGATGTTGCCTTATTTGTGTGGTGTCCTCTTTGACTTTTAACAAGTGTGGCCCCCGGCATGTCGTCCTTAAGGCAGCTCCATGTAGTTTTCAGCCCTCAAGAGAAGGCAGGGGCAGATCATGGGCATTCCCCGCCATCCAAGGAAACTTCCATAAATGCAGAGCCGACACATGATGCTCTGGGTCTGGGCTCACCCAAGGAATCGTCACCTCCTGCCCATGACTGCTTAACCTCACAACCGTGTATTGAGCTTCCCGCGCTACAAGGCTGCGCTCTCCGGAGATCAGCGGGGAGCAGCCCGCAGGTCTAGGACGTTTGTGGCCACACAAATAGGTACATTCTTTTTCATCTTACGTTAGACACCTTTAACGTTGTTTCAGCTGTGCCCTTAGCACGACAGAATGGGGAAGCAAAATGCGTCAGGCGTGGCTTCACCTGTTTGGTCCCAACACTCGGGCGAGTTGGACCAGCGGATACGGACATTCAGACTTTTCCTAATCGGTACGAGTTATGATCGTCGGACTTTGAGCTTGCATGTGTGCCGTGGGGTGTAACTTTGTCGGACATTGTTTTCAAGCCAGCATATGAATAGTTGCTGCCATGGTCTACCTCAGCGCGGTGACGACGACACTGAGGATTGACAGAGGATGTACGTAGGTGGGATCTTGCTGCGAGAAGTCGCCCACAAGAGATGTTACTCGTCTTGGCTGCGGGTAAATCTCTCGGTAAGGGCTGAGTCTCAGCAGCACAGTTTTCCATTCGCTCCCGAATTTTAACCAAGAGTTGTCATTTGATGGTACATTTAGCAAGCAGTCCTTGAGTTTTGTTACTTTTCACCCATGCGTTTGGGGGCGGGCTGGTGAGAGCCAGAAAGGACTCTACACCTCTAGGGGCCGCCAGCTCCGAGATCCCCTGCCAACTTTGTTATTGCTCATTTGAGACATTATCCGTGGCGCACGACGGGGACGTGCAACAGGAGTCTTGCATGAGGTTCCGTAAAACCAGAACAGTGAAGGACTGGCGCCCGAGTGGGGTACGGAATATCTCCTTATACACATCACATCAGACTTAACTTCCCCTCATGCCTGTGACCGAAATCACCGCGCCACATATGTGTAGTAACTTACACAAGTAAAAGTAAATGTTTATTGACAGATGGGGAAATTAACATTATTCATTACAATTCTTTAAAAGGATACAATTCAGTGACAGCTTCCCTTGCTTTCTCAAGCTGGAGAGTTACTGCTTCTAATCTGAAAAATATTATTCACAAATACAAAATTATCAACAGCTTTAAAATCAGCATTTTTGTTAAAATTGACTTCGGCTCTCAAAATAAGTGAAGTCTGTAGGCCAAGTACCCTACTAAATGACAAACTCAGGTTCAAATGTCAGTCCTCCGAAAGTCCTACTATATGAAAAACCATGGTTCAAACATATGTCAACTAAGACTCCTTCTGTACGGCTAAGGATAAGATGTCCCTTATTCAAAGATCCTACTTTATGATACAAAAGGTTCAAATGTCCATTAATAATGGCCACATTCGCCAGAGTGTAATGACAATACATGGAAGTCATGCCTGATGCATGCTGACCTTAAAAACCACAAAAAGTGGTGCATCCATGTGAAAGGTGCCATTGTCGAAGAGAGAAGACATACTCTGAAGAGAGATTCCCATTTGCACAGGAAATCAGAGTTTCAGGCGGGGTGGGGGGCAGAGTGAGTAGAAGGCTCAATATATGGATGCCCATGTGGGTTCCAGGACCCATTGTGGGAAAAACAAGAATAGACCCATTGTGGGGAAAACAAGAATAGGCCCAACTGCATAAAAATAAGCCAGTAAAACGGATGTACTCACAGAACTAAAGCCCTGGCACAAAGCCAAAGTCCGCATGGATGAACAATCAGGACTTTTCACTGGAGCTTACAGTTGGTGAACGAAAAAGTAGAAGAAGAAGAAAATATGGATGTGAAATTAAGCAGTCATGTGCAGGATGAGACAATTCCTTTGGCGAGCCCAGTACTACAGTGCCATGTATCAGGTGTGCGCTTATGGAAGACTCCTTGGATGGTGGAGAGTGCCCTTGTTCTGCGCCTGCCCTCCCTTGAGGGTCAACCAAGCTGCATATAGCTTCCCTGATAGATTCTCTCCCATGAAACTACTTGAGAGTGCTAAAATGAAGAAGTTGGATGTGTCGGCCAAAAGTTACAAATATCACAGCTATTGTGTAAACAGGCACAATGCATTTATGTCACCCGGACGAATGACAAAGAAGAAGATATGGATCACATCACATATCAAGAGCCATGGGTCTTTACAAATAAGAGGCTATTGTTTGTTTGTTTTGTTTTAGTATCCAGAAGCCATGAGTTGTTACCCCTTAGGCTCGGTATTATGGATATCGCAACCTTTCGGCCTTGATTCCATTTTAAATACTGTAAATCTGGGAGAAATGTGGCTTTCCTGCCCACCCCCGGAAGTGAACCCGGACCACAAGGAGTTTCTCACCCACTCACCGCGCACTCCAGTTTAGCCAACTATGCTAGAGAGACGGGCAAATAAGAGGCTAAACTTTAGCTGCTCTGGTTAGCCTTCAAACAGTTACTGTAGTTCACAAATACATCAGTCGCTGATTAAATTACAACAGACAGTGAAGTTCGTGCTGAAGACCACAGTGCAGATATAGATAATTTATTTTAAGCGAGCGAAAGAAAACAAAGAAGATAATATATTAACATTTGTCTTTATAAATGATGTAGAGCCTTCAATGAAGCACCAGTGGTTTTAATTTTTCAGTTCTGCCTGGCGCATTTTTTCAGTGTGTTGTGTTAACTTAGACAAATTCAATTACCGGAATTTTCACAAAATTTTATAGACAGAAAACTTGAAGTTTTTGTTAGATGTTTGCAAAAAACGTTACAAGTTCCTTTCTAGTTAAAATAAACTGATCATCATCATCATCGTCAATTTGTAACTTTGTCAAAATTTGACATTGAGAACACTTTAAGGTTTTATCAAATATTTAATATTATTTGTTACTTACAATAAATGGATGACCATAATATAATAAATCTGTACATCTACAGTGTCGGCTCTGTGGCTAAGTCGATGCGAACGCTTCATAATGCACGGAAGCCGGGTTCGATCCCAGCTGCAGGCTATGCGCCTTGCCTTGGTTTCGACAGTGGTATCAAGAAAGCCGACCGTCCAGTATGCAATGGCAAACTACTCGACGTAAATTTGCCTAGAAAAACCACACAACAGCCAGGGGCTGTTGTGGTTGGTTCTGCAACGTCCTGCAAAGGATACGCAACAACTTTTTAACAACTACAGTAACTGGTATAACATATGACTAGTTGGATACGAGTAATTGAGGCTCACTCTAAAACAAAATAACTTAGGATTTTAGCTAACCCACGCCACGTAAGCTTAGCTGCGTAGGCTTATGCCAAGCAATAATTAATAATAGTATATAGTAGTATATACTTCACTGTTGAATGGTGTCGTTTACTTTTGTCTTTTTACTAGTAAAATTGTATAGTGAAATTATTATTTATTATTTTCATACTCCTTTTTCAAAAGCACTTCCTTTTCTGTTGGTTCTAGTGCCTTTGGTTCAGCAGCTTCTTTAATAACATCTGCTTTTCCTTTCTTCTTCCCACCCTTTTCGCCTTTTTTTCCTTTCTTGGGCGGCATTTTAGTTAACAAACAATTACGGTGGTGTCTTTACTACTTAAGTAACCATGACAACATTCCGAAAGTTTCTCATTTAACAGTATATTAGTTTGTGTAGCGTTTATGTAATAATAAATAATAACACATGAAAACATATATAAATGTTATAACTATAGTTTATGTGTATTTATATTAGCGAAACTATTGTAATACGGAACTAAACATCAACAAAGGTAGACAGTACCGCAACTTCGCAACTGGTTTTATAGTCCACTCAAAATGGCTGATCCGTTAGCGGGTGGTTCAAGTTTCGCTTCTTGCGAACCCAAGATGGAATACGATGAAGAACTAGATTTTTTATCACCGAACTTTAATCCAGAACGCGCCTTATATTCGCCAGATGTATCGGTACCTTGTCCAGAAATAAAATTATTTGAAAGTGTCAAACATTATGAGGACGCCATAAAATCTCGATCGAAACAAACTTCAAAAAACAGAAGTAAGAAGGACAAAGGGACAAGTGTGGATAAGCCAGATGCAAAATTACAAGAATCTTCTGTTGATATTGATAAAACAGTTATACAAAATACAGATATCAAAGCTTCACCAAGTGATTCCTCGCCAAGTTTAGACAAGCCTCTTGCTTCGGCAACATGTATAGAGAAACAGAAACGTGTGGAAAGACAAGGAAAGTTGTTGACATACGCCAGTGCTGCTAGTGGCAGTGGGACATACGCCAGTGCTGCTAGTGGCAGTGGTCGGGTCGTCGGTCAAGATGGAAGTTGCAGAAGCGTAGGACAAAGTGAAGAACAGGCACTTGATTTGTCTTTAAAAACCTCACCATTGTTCACTCCCGCTAGACCAAAAATCGGTGGACGGTCTTCTGACACATCACAAAGCCTTCAAAGGAGTTATGAAAAACTGTCAAAACATTCTTCTACAAAAAGTGAAGAAAAGCCACACACAAAATCAAGTGTTGTAAAAGACGAAAGCGAAAGTGTAACACCGGTATGTGTAGGGCCTCACAGTAGCCGTGGAAAATCTTTGAATACCTCATGGAGAAGTGCTGAACTATCAAGAAGCCATGAAACAGAAAGAAAAAGTCACTCGGCCACTAGAAGTGATTTTTCCAGCCATAAACTTACCACAAATCTTATAACCCTGTCTACTTCAAGACGTGAAGACTTGCCAGATAGATTCAAGACTGGAGAAAGGAGTTCTAGTTACTTATCTAGGAGTGGAAAACATTTACATCCATCTGGTTCAACAGATGAAAGAAGATCCCACAGTGCATCTTCACATTATTCAGAAAGACATCATTCTGAGTCGCCCAAAAGGCATGAAAAGTCATCAAGGGATACCCGTTTAGGATCCAGACTGATTGAAAAGTCACCCAATACACCAGTCAGAAATCAGGACAGAGCATATCGTGAGTCTCAAAGTTCATCTAGCACTTTAGTGAAAAGTGAGAATCTGTCATGGAGAAACCCTGAAAGGTCGTTACCTGTTGCTGATGGGAGAGATGACAGACAATTGACTTCTTCTTTGACAAGTTCAGAGAGGCTGGGAAAGGTTTCAGACAGTCGCCAGGAAAGAAAACATTCTGATATAAAACAGAGCTACAAACCTGAAGTAGGTTCTTTTTTTATTATTTTTTATATTTTCTTCTTAACTTTTTGAGTCCCAGGGGGTTAAGCATCAGAGGCCCAAGGGATGGTAATGCATGTTTTTTAATTTCAGAAGTTTAACTCATTAAAGCAGACCATACTAATTCAATCGCCGTGCAACATACACATGTACATCAAAGTGACCAGGGATTGTTGAAGAATTATTATAGGATACAGCTACAACAAATTAGCGTTAGTAATTAAATATTAGTAAATAAACAGATGGTATGTTTACAAAAAATTAGTAAAATAAAAATATTTTCACTTACCACCATGGCACTCAAGGAAAACTGGTTAAAATATATCCAAAATGAATATAAACCACTTAGTAATGTATGAGTAAAATATAAACTCAATCTATACATTAGATTTTGTTCCAGGGAATCTTTTGAAGCATCATAACAGAGCACCATTATTTGATAAAGAAAACTGACTCCCAAAACAATAAATATCTTCACACAACAAAGTTTAAATAAAACACTCAATTTGCCTGTAATTGTTTAGCTATGTTCTTAAATAATAAGGAGAACAGCACTAGAATAAAATCGTCTTTTCACTAATGTTTATTCTATTTGTGCCAGCTGACTTTGGTATCCTTTGAGTGAGGTGCACAATAGACTTATCCCTCATCTAAGTTTGACTCTATAAATGACCAAAACACGTCTAATTCGCAATATTATCAAACTTTGGAAAAATCTGATAAACATGAACTTTATTTAAATTTGAGGCTTCTATAGCCTTAAATCATGTTGGCATGCATGTAGAATACTGCTTGGCAGCCATATTCTTTTCAAACAAACAATTACTAACTCGGCAAATCTCACAAATATACCATATTTTCGGCTTTCATACCACATTTCTAAATGAGCACGCCTGATATTAGACACAAAGAACTCAAAAGGAAGTTGAAATTGAGTGGTCCACATTTTATTACCGGTCAGTGGTAGATTAAAAACCTTCACTTGTCACACATCTATTACTATTGGGCTGCTCAGTTTTAACAAATTGGCACTTGATGCGTTCCCTGGGACTCAAAGAGTTAAAGTCCATGCTTTGTGGCATTGGTAATCATGTATATCCACAACCTTCAATCTAATGTACCTTTCAGTCAACCCTGACATAGCTGATCCTCCATACCATGATGTCAGACTGTCCATCTTCTGTTCTCTCTGTTTCCCTCTGCCTCTCCTCCCCTCCAACTTTCATACTGTCAGGATGTACTCACTCCAGTTTTCTCCTTCTCATCACATGACCAAGAATGTAGATTGTCTGTTTCTGATTTGGTCAGTAAGTTCTCTTCGTGAGTCAGTTTTTTCAAGACTTCTTCATTACCTTTTTTTCTGTTCAGGGTATACGCATTTTCTTCTTTCTTTCTTTTGTCAAAATCTGCTTGTGCCGCTAGGCGTCGCAGTCTATCAGATGATCGGCAACCGAGCCAGGGCACGCTCAGTCGCTTCATATGCCGTGATGTTATGAAGTCTCAAGTTGTCCGTGACTCCTTCAATTTATCTTCTTCTTGGTCTTCCCCTGCCTCTTGGTGTTTCGATTTTCATGTTGTATGCTCTTGATGCTGGCATCGTTGGTTCCATTCTCATTAGGTGACCAAACCATTTCATTCTTTGCTTCTCAATAAATTTAACGATGGGTATGGTTCCAATAGTTCTTGTAATCACATCGTTTCTCACTCGATCTCTTCTGGTTTTATTCGCAGCCATTCTCAAACATCTCATTTCACAGGTGGTTAGTATTCTCTCGTGTTCTTTTGTTAATGTCCAAGTCTGACATTGATAACCTAATGTCTGTATAAAGATTGTATTTATAATTTGTCTTTTTATCTCAGCTGGGACAGCAGGGTGTTTTAAAATTGGGGCAAGCTGGTATGCGACATTGTTGGCTTGTTGGATTCTTGCTTCGATCTCTCTGTCTATTTTACCATTGAATGTAAAGATACTTCCCAAGTATTTAAATTCTTGCACTTGTTTTAGGCTGTGATCTAGAATTTTTATGTCGATGGTCTGTTGCTCTCTGCTTATGCTCATGACTTCTGTCTTTTCAGTATTGATCTTCATATGATGCTTGAGGCAACTGTCGTGTAGAAGGTTTATGTGGTCTTGCAGCTGTTTACTATCACTGTGAAATAGGCATTGATCGTCGGCAAAGAGCAGCTCATTGAAGTCCTCCTGTTTATCGACATCTGTTGGTGTTATGTCTATTTTATTAATATTGTCCATAAATATTATGAAAAGTAAAGGTGATAATACACAACCTTGTCTTACTCCTGATGTTACTGGGAACCAGTCTGTGATGCCAGCTCTTGTTCTAATGGCGCTTTCACTTTGTCTATAAATAGCCCTAACACAATCTAAAATTGTTCCATTTATACCGTAGTTTTCAAGAACTTTCCATAATAAATTTCTGTTTACTCTATCGAAAGCTTTTTCTTGATCTATGAAAGCGATGTTCATTTGATGTCTGTGTTCTATTGTCTTTTCGCTAACTTGTCTTAACGCAAAAATAGCGTCAGTACACCCTCTTCCTTTCCTAAATCCAACCTGTGATGGGCTCAGGATCGGTTCTACAACGGACCTAATTCGTTGTTCCAGAATTTTGGCAAACATTTTTCCTACGTGGCTTAGAAGGGAGATGCCACTGTAATTGTTACAAACTTGCTTATTGCCTTTTCTTTTCCAAATTGGGACTATAAGGGCTCTTTGCCAGTCTATTGGTACAGTTCTTTCATTCCAGGCTTTCCTAAATATGTGGAGTAGCCAGGTGACTCCAATTTCTCCACAAGCCTGTATTGCCTCGGCTGATATTCCATCAACACCTGATGCCTTATTTTTGGGACTGCATCTGATTGCTTCTCTGACTTCTTGTTCGATTACTGTAGGCTGTTCCTCGTTTGTACATCTGGGTGTGAATGGTTATGTTTCCTCATTTCCTGTTACATTCAGAAGAGTCTGAAAATATTCTTTCCGCCTTTCTCTGATCTTGCCCTCCTCATGTATGGGTTTGCCTTGACTATCATTGACATATTCAGATGGCTGGAATGGTTCATCTCTAGTTCTCATTTTTGCAATGGTTTTGTAAAACTGTCTACTAGATTTAGCACAGATTTTGGTAAGATTTTCCCCATACATGATCCAGGATGTTTCCTTGGATTGTTTAATTTCTCTTGCAGATTGTCGCCTGGCAATTCTGTACTTGAAATAATCGTCATCTGAGCGGGATCTTAGCCATTTCTTGTATTGCTCCTTTTTACATTTCACTGCTTGTTTTACTTTATCATTCCACCATGCTGTTTTTTTCCTGAACGTTCCTCCTGTGTATCTAATACCACAGAGTGTTGTTAGGCAGTTAAGAAGAGTGTTCTTAAATTTTTGCCACGCAGCTTCCACATTGTCACTTGATGTTATTAGCTCAGCCATCTTCGCCGTCATTTCTGCCTGTACTTTTGCTTGGTTTTCTAGATTTCTTAGGTGTCTTATGTCAATCATTGAGGTGCGTACTGATGTTTTTGGTTTTTTTGTTAATTGTTGCTTCGCTTAGATATACGATCAGCGGTCGATGGTCTGTATTTAAAGAGATGTTAGGAATTACTCTTGCGTCTTTTACTAAGCTTCTTCTCTTTTGTCGATTTAGTATGTAGTCCAACTGTGCGGCCTGGTCTGGGTTGCTCCATTTATACCAGGTGTTTATTTGGCTTTGTCGATGCTGATAGAAACTATTGGTGACATAAAGGCCATGCTCTGCACAAAGTTCTAAAATACGCTGCCCGTTGTAATTGCAGACTTTGCTGTTGTCTGAGTGTGGCCCGATATATTCCTCCCACGGTGTTCGCCTCTGCCCTATATGCCCATTTAGGTCACCTATTACCATAAGATCATCATTTGCGTGAATCTGACTAATGACATCCGACACTGAGTCAAAGAAGTTATCTTTCTCTTCCAAGTTGTAACCATCATTGGTGGGTGCGTATACCTGCACAATGCTTGTATTTCTTGTTTTCCTGTGGAGTTGCAATACTATAATCCTTTCAGATACATATTCTATATTCTTTACATGTTTAGCGATATCCGGATGGAGAATAAAACCGACTCCGTGAGTCGCTCTCTGCTCTTTTTTAACGCCGCTCCAAAATATGGCATAGTTGTTATAAATGTCTTTTGTTATGTTGCCCTTTTTCCTGCAATCTGATATTCCCATTATATCGATCTTATGTTTCATCATGAATTCTACTATTTCTGGTTCTTTATTTGTGAGACCACAAACACTCCATGTTCCGATTTTTGTCGCTTGGCTAGTTTGTTTACAATGAGTGAGAGATGGCTAACCTGTTCTCGAGCCCTGATTGTTGTTACGTTTGATGGATTTTCTAATCTCATCATTCGTCTGTAATAAGAGATATATAGTATCATGTTTAAAAATGTTGAATCAAGAATCGACATGACAGCACTCGGGACACCCCGATAAGCGCTCCATCCGCATCTTCAGCAGCAAGCAAAGAGTTAAAATGCTGATGGTACCAGTAACTGTCTGATTGTATATCGGCCAGATCCCCTTGTAACTCCTCGCAGTGCCATTCTCCTCAGACCATAATGATCTATCCATTCCTCGGCACTGTTCACTCGCTCCCAAAAGGCCCTTATAACAACTAGCTTGTCATACATCAGTTCACCACCAAGTGGTGCAGAACCGGCCAGTCTATCCGCCTGCTCATTTAAAAAAAAAAAATGCTTTATTCTTATAATCTTGGAGTTGGTGTTGATAATGAGATAAATATTCTGATTTATTGAATTATCTTTTTGTAAATAAATATTTTATAATAGCCCATTTATTTATCTTCAAAATAATAGTTCATTCGACATGTTACAAATTAATTAAACTGTAGTTTAATTTGTGTATAAATCTACTCCATTACAAGTGTTACTACCGACCGGCCACGCCAGCCTCACAAAAACGGGAATTCCCATTTGAGCTGTAGGGCCTTATATCTGGAGCTGGCCGTGTAAGAGACCAATCAAATTCAATGATGTTCTTGGGTCTTGTGTGAGAAGAGAGGCTTTGGCTATGAAGAACATGAGGATAACAGAATTTGAAAATAGTTTAAAAGGCAAAGGCATACTAGGAGAAATTATATTGGACTGTCTGACATAGTGAAGAACACCGATAGTTATTTTGCAAAAAAATTTTGTAAATTGAAGGAAGAAAAGATGGTGTTGAAAGTAGCTGATCACCTCATCTAATTAATTATATCATGAACTAGTCTGTGTGGAAACCCAACTTTACACACGGCCAGGCACCACATTTTGATATTGTGATACCTCTACTGTTTATCACAATGTAATTTATACTGACTTAGTTGACATACTGTTAAGGCAAGTCTCCTTGACAGAGGGGTTAAAACCGCTTGCCTTGCTCTCTGCAGGTTGTTGTGTTTGACATCATTATCAACTGCCTTGCCAGCCGGCTTAGGCGATCATGACTCTCCGCAGTTTGCAGCTGCGTGTATCGGTGTTTGTTGACACCCCTCCATGCTATGACAAAAGGCTGTCAAAAATCTTCTCAGGTTGCCTTTCTCTGTCTCTCTTTCCACAGATCTTTCCATTGGTTTGACATCAGCCGTGCTAAGCATTTAGTGCAGTCTGAATCACACAACAGGACAATGGCTGTGTTAATGTTACCACTGGTTCCTCACAGCTTGTCTTTATTATGTTGCTTTGTTAGGGCAGTTCGTGCTCAGCAGTCTATCTGTGTGCTCTGTATTCTCAGGTGCAGATTCTTTTATGTATATTTTGTGAAGGTTGTGAGTTCAGATTCAGACTCGACCCATCATTTTGCGTAAAACATGTGTTTTTGGAGTACTCATTGCTGGAGCTGTGGTTTAAGCTGTGAACACATTGATGGAGCTGTGTATACATTGCTGGGGTCATGGTTTCAGGCTGTTTACACATTAATGGAGCTATGGTTTCAGGCTGTGTACGCATTGATGGAGCTATGGTTTCAGGCTGTGTACGCATTGATGGAGCTATGGTTTCAGGCTGTTTACACATTGATGGAGCTATGGTTTCAGGCTGTGTACGCATTGATGGAGCTATGGTTTCAGGCTGTTTACGCATTGATCGAGCTATGGTTTCAGGCTGTGTACACATTGATGGAGCTATGGATTCAGGCTGTGTACGCATTGATGGAGCTATGGTTTCAGGCTGTGTACGCATTGATGGAGCTATGGTTTCAGGCTGTGTACGCATTGATCGAGCTATGGTTTCAGGCTGTGTATGCATTGATGGAGCTATGGTTTCAGGCTGTGTACACATTGATGGAGCTATGGATTCAGGCTGTGTATGCATTGATGGAGCTATGGTTTCAGGCTGTGTACACATTGATGGAGCTATGGATTCAGGCTGTGTACACATTGATGGAGCTATGGATTCAGGCTGTGTATGCATTGATGGAGCTATGGTTTCAGGCTGTGTATGCATTGACGAAGCTATGGTTTCAGGCTGTGTATGCATTGACGAAGCTATGGTTTCAGGCTGTGTATGCATTGACGAAGCTATGGATTCAGGCTGTGTATGCATTGACGAAGCTATGGATTCAGGCTGTGTATGCATTGATGAAGCTATGGTTTCAGGCTGTGTATGCATTGATGAAGCTATGGTTTCAGGCTGTGTATGCATTGACGAAGCTATGGTTTCAGGCTGTGTATGCATTGATGAAGCTATGGATTCAGGCTGTGTATGCATTGATGAAGCTATGGATTCAGGCTGTGTATGCATTGACGAAGCTATGGATTCAGGCTGTGTATGCATTGATGAAGCTATGGTTTCAGGCTGTGTATGCATTGACGAAGCTATGGTTTCAGGCTGTGTATGCATTGACGAAGCTATGGTTTCAGGCTGTGTATGCATTGATGAAGCTATGGTTTCAGGCTGTGTATGCATTGATGAAGCTATGGTTTCAGGCTGTGTATGCATTGATGAAGCTATGGTTTCAGGCTGTGTATGCATTGACGAAGCTATGGTTTCAGGCTGTGTATGCATTGACGAAGCTATGGTTTCAGGCTGTGTATGCATTGACGAAGCTATGGTTTCAGGCTGTGTATGCTACTCTTAGTAGGCAAGAAGCTGCTCTTTGGTAGACCAAATAAAACACATGAAGAAGAGAGCTAAAGAGTGAAGGTAATAATATGGGGAGGACATGGGGTGGGTTGCATGCGATAGCAAAGGATATGAAGGGTTGGTTGAATGCTTATGCTTCATTGGGGGATAACAGGCAGAAGGCGCTGCTGCTCTTCAAATGGAGACCCAGATTTATGATATGAGTTGCAGTAAGACAGTGGCACGTAATATTTAAATCTAGTGTTAAAGGTTTCTAAAAAGATTGCCCATGTTTGTGGTCATTCATCGAGGTCCTTGGCCTGCAGGCTGCTCCCTGTTGATCTCCAGAGGGTGCAGCCTGTGATTAGTTGGAAGCTGATTTATGGAAGCCTCCTTATATGGTAGTTAATGTCCATGATCTACCCCTGCCTTCCCTTAAGAGCTGTCCAGTCTGCATGCGGTTGCCGGGGGTTGGTTTAACAGGGACAGCATGTGTAGATAAAGGGATATCAGCCTCCTGATATGTTTTATGATCAAAGAAGAAGAAGGGACAAAGAAGACATCATAAAAGTATGGCTACATCATGTCTCATGAAACTAACCCTGAAGGCTAAACCCAGTAAACAAAAGCTGGATGTGTCAGCTGAAAGGCACAAATATTGCAGCCATTATTTAAACCAACACAACAGAATTACATCACTCGGACGAACAAAAAGAAGATATTTGAACCCCCTTCGAGGTAGAGAAAAAGAAATACTGGTTCTTCCTGTACATTTATATTGATTTTCTGTGTTAACGCCATTTGTCATGAAAAACAGTTGCCATATGACCTAATATATGTTCTAGGATCCCATTTGGAAAGTGGAGATTTGACCCACTGCCTCTTAACAAGCATGTCAGAAAAGGTGACTCATTAAGGGTTTCCTGAAATCTGATGTGTTGGGCTGAGAGCTGCAGGTATCACAGCCTGGCTGTAAATCACAACATTGAACCAACTGCCATTTTTAACGGTAAACACAAAGGAAGAAAAAGTTGTCATAATGAATATCGTTTCTTCCAGAATGTAAGAGCTGATACAAGCAGGCTACAGAAAACACCTGCTGTGACTGTTCAGAAGAAATTTCCGCTACAGGTTCAAATTCCGAAATTTGACGTAAAAGATAGTTCTGATGCAAGCAGATCAAGTAGACAAAAATCAACAAAAGTGCGAAATGTTTTCACTCGCATGGAAAACAGTAAGTAATCTTCTTCTTCATGTTTACCGGCTGTAAACTCCAGCAGAAATTTCTAGTTGGTCATCCACTCTTTTTCCAGAAGGGTTTCAGACGCAGACATATATTTTCCAGTTTAAAGACAGAGAAAAGAATATTGAATAATTGGTTGGATATTAAATGCTGGGCCAAGATTCTTGACAATTTAGAGATAAAACTGGAACTCTGTTTCCAGCTTAGGTTGATTAAGAGTATATAAGTGCTACTAATGTAGAGCTTTGGAAGAGAACTAAACTTCCAGTGAATTAAGTGTTGAGGAAAAACACTGACTTAAAAGGCACACATTGAAAAAAACCTATTAACAGTATAGCTAGAATGTATTTGCGCTGGAACCCACAAGGTCAAAAGAGTACAGGCAGACCATAAAACAACCAGATAACACAGATTAGAGAGGAATTTGAAGAGTTTGTCACTTAAAAATAATGGAAACAGAGCTAGAGGAGGCCGCCCACGCAAGGGATGGTTAGCTGGATTATCTGAGGCCAGGAATAGCAGTATCTAAGTAGCAAACACCAAGGCTCACAGCAGATGTCTCTTGAAAACCTGATGCTGAAAGACAAAATAAGGATTGAGAAAGGGGAAAGAAGATGGTGTAGCTGCATAAAGCATCATAGGTTAGGATTACTTGGCAAGAGTCGGTTGAGGAGTATTTCTTTGGGAGTACAAGAGGCAGAAGAAGAAGATAGATGTATTGATGCTGTTAACAAAATATCCTTCAAACTTATCCGTTGTATTCTCTTTTTAATGAATAGTGGCTGGACCATTGCGAGTACTGACTCGTTGTGTGCAAGAGCATCTGCAGATTCGAGTGATGACCAGAGGCGCAGTAACTGTTAAAAGTATCTGCAGAGGTTATGTTGTGGCCTTCGACAAGCACTTTAATATAGTAAGACTAATCTTTATTCTTATTTTGTTGGTAATCCATGTGTTTGAAAAATGTTAAGAATACGTTTAAAGACAAGAGCATTGACTTCATTGCACTTTGTACCCCATGTCAGTTCCTAGGCCCCATTATGGGGAGGGTGAATTGGCCCACTGCTCCCTAACAAGCATGTTGTAAGAGTTGGCTTATTAGGGATATTTGCTTTGAAGTCAGAGAGGTGAGGAAACAACAGTCTGCATGCAAATAAGCCAGATCTGTAAGACAGACATGCTCACAAAACTCTAGTTCTTGAGCGATACTGAAGTCCAGAAGTGGATGAACAGTCAGAACTTTCTGCCAGAGTTGACAGCCTGTGAACATGAAGATAATTACACGAGATTAGATGAAGCAGTGCATCGTCACTTTTGGTGGAACATACTGATCAGGACTTAACCCAGTCAGGATCTCTCTACATCTCTATGTGGTCATCCTTGAAATAAGTTCTCTACAAGGGGCTTTGCGAGCAGAAATAATATGATTTGTTTTGATCAAAGTTTAGCACATCTGCCTGAGAGGTAAGAACCACTAGTCTGTACTAGGGATGTACCGAATATTCGCTTCGGGGCCGAATAGTGGACCTATTGACTATTCGGTATTCGGCCGAATAGTTGCGGTCGGCCGAATACGAATTGTAGTTACCTTACACCTGATTTTACATAAACGGCCCTAATACTGACAACATGGAACAATTGGTTTTGTTGAAAGCTAATGCAGCTTTCATGCATTAACTAAGCTGTCAGTGGCAATTTCCAGGTTTAGTTACTTGTTATAATACTTAAGATTCTTTCATTCCTAGTTATTAGTTACCACAGACTGAAGGATGCAAAACATGAAATGTTTTAAAATGTTTACTATTCTGTACGAATACTAACTAGACATGGAAAGAAAATAAACTCCAGCCACATCCAAGTCGATAATATGAAAATCATGCGAACGGAAACAAATAAGTACTTGGGTGCAAACTTCAACTGCTCCAACATGCTGAGAGAAGAAATACAATCTAGAAATAAAGTATACTATGCCCTTCAACATCTGCTATAGTCAAAATGTCTGCCTCGCAACACCAAGATCAAAATACATAAAATGTTAATAAGACCAATCGTTTTATATGGCTCTGAAACTTGAAGCAGAAATAAAAGAGATGAAGCCTTTTTTTGCAGGTTTTCGAAAACAGTCTTACGACAAATCTTTGGACCCATCAAAGATGCTAACAGCGGAGAATGGAGAGTGTAAAGCAACAACATAACACATAATCTGTGTGAATCACCATTGATAACTTGCATCATAAGAGCTAACAGACTAAAATGGTTGGGGCATATTGAAAGAAATGTCAGATGACAGAGAAGTAAAGCTGTATACACCTGAGAGAGGAAATGGGCGTAGACCACTGGGCAGACAAAAAAGAAGATCGAGAGATAATGTCCAGCCTGACCTGCAAACAACTGGTGTCACAAATTGTGAAGAGAAGGCCAGCCAAAGAGATGAATTGAGACAGGTGATATCTGCAGCAGTAAATCTCAAGGGCTCAGAATGCTAAAGAAGAATGATGACTATTCTTTGCTACTTTATAGTAAAAGTTCAGCGTACATTTGACATTATGAATGAGTTTTTTTCTTTTAAGATATATTTTATACACTATTCGTATTCGGCCGAATAGTTGGTCCCGTTATTCGTATTCGGCCGAATTCAAAGTTTAGGCATAGAAGACCAGCCAGGACTTTCTGCCGGAGTCGACAGCTGACAAACAGAAAAGAAAAAGAAAAATAACGCCTGGTTTTATCCCATTTGAGTCAGATTGCTCCACAGAACAGTTGGTCATCCATGAGAGCATCACATAAAGCATCAACATAACTCAGCAGTGACTTCCAGAGATCTCTGAAATACATGCACTCTTGAACCAAACGTTGAGGGCCCAAATAAAGCCCACAATCCTCAGAGTTACGTTTTACTAATGTTAACTCCTTTCTCTGGCTGGAGAGATCCTTCTTTTGTATGGTTTTCAGTCTGAGACAGCTGATCACATGCTCCTAAACTGTCTCAAATACATCAAATATATCAAGGCAGAGCTTCTGGCCAAGAGAAACACTGGTGGAAGCTAAACTTTATAAGTCACTGAGGGAATTACAAAGGACAGTGAAGTTCATACTAGAGACAAAATTGCAGATATGTCAGCAGTTGTAATTTACAGAGACCAAAGTTTGATACACTTGATTTCTTTCTGTCAGTTCTACCTGGCACTGTTTTATGATACTCATGGTTGATTTCTTTTTGTCAGTTCTACCTGGCACTGTTTTGTGATGCTCATGGTTGATTTCTTTCTGCCAGTTCTGTCTAGCACTGTTTTATGATACTCATGGTTGATTTCTTTCTGTCAGTTTTGTCTAGCACTGTTTTATGATACTCATGGTTGATTTCTTTCTGTCAGTTCTACCTGGCACTGTTGTATGAGACTTTAATTTGTGTGAATACTGTGCTCAAATACACATCTGAGTAGTTTAGCTAACCTTGTTACATCCGTATAAATTACCTTACCTTGTAATATATGTGCTCTTAACTGTGTTTACTCTTAGTTAACTACTTTATGTCATCTTCATCTTGGCACTTGGTTTTTTAGCATGTTTGTATGTTTACATCTGCAGGCATTAATAGATGTGGATGAAATCTACAGACGTCCTGCAGTTTTAGGTAAAATTAAATCCGTGAGTATTCATTTTAATGAACATTATTTCCCTAATCTTGACTAGTCCTGGGTGTTTTAATAACAACATAATCATTATAACTGTTCTGTTCTTATAGGTTTATAAAGGCTGAATATTACTGCTGCTGGCTGCTAGAATTATTGCTGCCGATTGCATAGTTTATTGTAGCTTTCTAAAGTGTATTACTGCTGCTGGCTGCTAGAATTATTGCTGTCGATTGCATAGTTTATTGTAGCTTTCTAAAGTTTATTACTGCTGCTGGCTGCTAGAATTATTGCTGCCGATTGCATAGTTTATTGTAGCTTTCAGCATTTTATTACTGCTGATTGCACACACTTATGTAGCTTTCTGCAGTTTCTCACTGCTGTTGGCTGCTAGAATTGTTGCTGCCGATTGTACACACTTTTTGTAGCTTTCTTAATTTATCAGTGCTGCTGACTGCACAGTTTACTGTAGCTTTCTGCTCAGTTTATCACTGCTGCTGGCTGCTAAAGTTGTTGCTGCTGTCTGTTCGGTTTATCACTGCTGCTGGCTGCTAAAGTTGTTGCTGCTGTCTGCTCGGTTTATCACTGCTGCTGGCTGCTAAAGTTGTTGCTGCTGTCTGCTCGGTTTATCACTGCTGCTGGCTGCTAAAGTTGTTGCTGCTGTCTGCTCTGTTTATCACTGCTGCTGGCTGCTAAAGTTGTTGCTGCTGTCTGTTTGGTTTATCACTTCTGCTGGCTGCTAAAGTTGTTGCTGCTGTCTGTTCGGTTTATCTCTGCTGCTGGCTGCTAAAGTTGTTGCTGCTGTCTGTTCGGTTTATCACTACTGCTGGCTGCTAAAGTTGTTGCTGCTGTCTGTTTGGTTTATCACTTCTGCTGGCTGCTAAAGTTGTTGCTGCTGTCTGTTCGGTTTATCTCTGCTGCTGGCTGCTAAAGTTGTTAAGTTGTTGCTGCTGACCAGTATTAACCTTCCAGGCACATTGAGAGAATTGTAATGTGACAACAGTTAGATATGTCTAGCATGGGAGAGAACACTTTGCAGTCTTGCATATATGGAACAAGAGTCAAGATTTTTCTGTACACGAGCATTGCACATAATGTCAATTGAGAACAGTGCAAATTTTTCTGGTCACTAATACTAATGTGTGAACTTAAGCTTACTGCTGAGAAAGGGTGTTTGTAATCATAACTTGAGGCTTGGAGCTTTATGTGTTAATGTCAGTTCCAGTATATGTGGCACAGTATGCCTAAATATTGCCTGGAGAAGTCTTAGTGATGCCAGATATAAACATACTTATAGGACATGGTGCAGATTGCCCTGGTCATGTGCATCTATGGGGAAGGAAGGATTTGCTTCAGCATCATCTCTCTATATATGTCCTAGTGACAATGCTTATGAACCTTCTGTCTTAGCTCATATTTTTAATTATATGGAAATAATTGGAATATGAAATGAGCCTCTATTTTATTATTGTTATTAGAAATAAATGATGTGTCAACCAGATGACACTTGTTACACCTTATATATATATATATATATATATATATATATATATATATAGATAGATGCTCACAGTTGGTTGAACTTTTATATTGTTTAAGCAGTTTATATGGAACAGGGTGTTAATTTGATTTCAGAAAAGAAGTAAAAAGTTAATGGCAGCTCAGAAAACACTACAAAAGGAAAGAGAAGAATATCTGGCAAAATGGAATGAAGAACAATCAATCAAACTTGCAAGCAGCAGCCTCCAAGACCTATCTCTACAGGCTGAATGCTCCAAAGACCAGAAATCCTCATCAGATACCTCAGAACACCAAGAGGAAGCATTTACTCCCGGGACTGATCCTTCCTGTAGCAAGCTTAAACAAACTGTTGACTCCTTGTTCAGATCGTCAGGACATCTTTCACGGCATGCTTCAACACACAGGAGCCAGACGGCATCATTACCAGGCTCACTAGTAGGAACACTGAAACCCGAACTCCTTTCAAAATCTGCCCAGGCAAAACTTCGTAGAATCCAGAGTGTTTATGAGGATCACACCGTTCCTCTGTCTCCGTTTGAAAGGGAGGCTCTGATGCTTGGAATCGCTGATGAAAATGTGCAACATAGACATATAAATCAAATGCTTATAAGAGGTGAAAATGTTGTCTCTGTGTCAATCATTGAAGACTTTTGAAGCTCATTTTCCAGACTGTATGTTGGAGTCTTATTTAATTTGCTTCATATACATTGATTATTGTATTCATTTTTTGGGGGTTGTCCTATACAATGACATTAGTTTTTTCCTGAATATTTTCTCCCAAAAATAATTAAAGATTATGTTTTTATAACAGCATTCCAAATAAAATCAACCATTAAGGTCATACAGAACAGGAGACATTTGTGTTAAAGTTATGGCTGTAAATGTTGCATTGATAATGCAAATTGCAAGAACAGAAGGAGCATTCAGGCTACACTGCTGTCGTACTCATATAACTGGAAAATCTCATTGATTTCTTTTCACTTATAGCATCTGTGGCTTAGAGGTTGTAAATGTAGTTTCACAATTTGGACATCACAGTTTGAAATCAGCTGCAGGAGGTTTGGTAACAGAACGCTTTGCGCTGATTGATGAAGCAGTATGGGTGTCGCACCATTCAAAAGGCAGTGGCAGACTATTGAAGGTGACATTGCTAAGTTTTACCACAAGCAATGGATAAATGCTTGGATTGTTTCTATAAATCCTGATAATGATTTACAACCCCCCCCCCCCTTTTTTTTTTTTTGCTAGCAGTTAATACATGTATTAACTGCCGTCTTTAGGTTTTACATTACGAGGATCCAGTCTCTTCATGGTGTGACTCTTGTGCTACTTTTTAGAAAGCCACGTTGAACACTCTTTTCTTTTTTTCTAAATACAGGGTTCGTAGTGGACCGGGAAATCTGGAAATTACCGGGATTTTTTTCGTTGACCTTGAATCGTGATTTTTAGCTTATAAAAGACATTCCGACCTTGAAAAGTCTTGAATTTTGACCGCGGCAATGAAATCGTCAGAAATCCTGTGTTTTTCAGCACAGGCAATTTTGGGAGAGCCATTTGGCTTTTTTGGCCATTTGGCTAGTTTTTGGCTACTTTCGTTGTATGGTCGTTTCAGGTGTGAGTGCAGCTGATTATTGGCTATTTTCAGCTGAAATGGCTTGTTAAAGGCCAGGGGAGGGCGGGCTTTGTTGCAGATCATGAATACATGCAGACAGCAGCGGTGTGGCATGGGGCAAGAAGTAGCAGCTTCCGTCTCGCGCGCGCGTGTGTGTGTGTGAGCCTTTGTTTCTAGCAAGTCCGGCAGAATGAACAGTATAAATCGTTTACGGCCGTGGTTTCTAGAAAGGATTACATTGGGAGATGGTGGGGCTCGGTTCAGTTGTATTTATAAATAGAGTCGCCGTGGTAGGGGCTAAGCACGGCCTTCTCTATTAATTAGAGATGGCATTGGGGCTAAGCAAAGTGACTGCAGCTGGATTTCCCAGTTCTATTTTTGGCCTGGATTTATCTTTACAGTGTGTTTGGCGATCAGTATTGTGATTCCCCGAGATTCCCTCTTCTGTTGTCTCACCCCTCTCTCTCTCTTCCTTCCCTCCCTCTTTCACTCTTCTACCTATTGCTCCTTCCTTCCCGTCTCCTGCATTGTCTCTAACCCTCCCTTCTGATCTTCATCTTCTTCTCTTTCTCTCTATCTTTCCTTTTACTCTCTCATTTCCTGTCCCCCCTCCCCCTTTTTCCTATTTTATTTCTTGTTTTAATGTTTAGTAATGTGGCTCCATAACTCTTCCTAGCAACTCAAGTACACAGGAAGTTGTATTGGGAGGGGGGGGGGGGGCATTCTGTGTGAACGTGGTGGATATTTTTTTTTTGATGTTTGTTTTCCTAGCGGCCTTAATCTCTGTCCATCTCCCTTCCCGCCCCTCACATTTTGTCCTACCTGTTCCTCACTCTCTGCCTGTCTGTGTCACTGCTTTCCTCTTTCTCTTTGTATTTGCCACTCTCCCTCACTCCCTCTCTCTCTCTCTCTCTCTCTCTCTCTCTCTCTCTCTCTTTCTTTCTCCATACCTTCAGTTGGTGTAGAAGGTTATGTGTTGCCTAGTGCAGAACATTTCATGTCCACCATTCCCCCCTCCCACACATTAAATATATGTGTACTTTTAAAAACACATTTGCCGTCACCCCCCCCCCCCCCCCCCCCCCAACCTTTTTCTCCTCCCACATTGATGACACCTAGGGGAGGGAGTGCACCCCTTCCTGCTACCTTCTTCCCTCTATATCTCATCTTATTTCTTACTCCCTTCTTTCTCTCCCTGTCTCATTCCCACTTTATTTTCTTAAACTTTATTCTCTCACCTCCTCTGTCTCACCCTTACCACCTCAGCCTTCTACACCACTTTCCACCACCTCCTCTCTCCCCTCCTTTCTGTAATTGGAAAACCAGAAATAAAACGAAGTCCACTGCTGCCCTGACCTATTTATGTGTCTGACCTATTTATGTGTGTGGGTAAACTTCTCTTTTTTCCACCAGTGGTGGGTTGGGATCCCCTGGACTTTTTCTTTCTTCATAAAATGACCTTGGCTCTCAGGTCACCAGCCTTAAGTGTAAAAAATTGAATTATTGTTGTCACACACAGATAGGACAAGCAAGGGGCAGTAGGGGTTAGCACTGTTGTTTATGGATCACAGCCACATTCACATTGGGAGAGGGTAGGAACCGGAAAAGTGGCCTCACTTAGAGATTTCCTAATTCTATTTTTGGCACTCATTGTTCTTACACCCCCCCCCCCCTCCCCACCCCCACAACCGTGTCTTACCTTTCTTCTCTCACCCCTTCTCTTTCCTTTGATCTTCTACTATTCTCCTTTCTCTCTCCATTCTTCCTCTCTTCCTTTCCTTGCCCTTTCTCCTGTCCCATCTCTTGTTTTTCTCCTCTCCATCCTGTCTTTTCATTTTCTCTAGATTTCCTTACCCGCTCCCCTCTCTCATTTCCCCCCCCCCCCCCATTTTTTTACTGGTTCATCTACGTATTTGTTTGCCCCATAACTATCTTTGCCTAGTGGTTGTGGGGGGGAGGAGTAGGTGGCTGTTTTTTTTCTTTGAGGTATCTTGTCTCTCTTCCTGGCCCCCTCTCTTAATCTGTATTCGTCACTGCCTTCCTTACCCACCTCTCTCTCTCTCTCTCGCTCTTGCTTTATGTCTGTTTGCCTCCCTTCATCACTTCCTCTTTGAATACCTCCCTCCCATTCTCCTGCTCTGCCTTTTTTTCTCTTTCTTTGGTTCTCTCCCTCTGTCTGCTTGCCTCTCTGCTTGCATCTGCTTCTCACCCTGTCCGTTCTCTCTCCCTCTGTCTCCCTTCTTTAAACTCTTTGTCATATTTTCCTCCTTCCATATCTCTGTTTCGTTCCCTTTTTCCTTCTCTTTTCATCTGCCCATCTCTGTATCTGCATTCCCTCTTTCTGTATTTGTCTCCCTCTCTGTCTTTCGCTGTCCCTTCCCCACTTTTCCTCATCATGTCTCCATCCCTCCCTCTCATTTTTTCCTCCTTCCCCAGACTTCTTTTCCTTCTTTTCTCTACCTTCATCTGTCCATCTTTACACTGTCTCTCCCAGCCTACCTCAGCATGTGTCTTCCTCTCTCTTCATGACTCTCTCTCTCCCCTAACCCTCTCAGGTACCAGGTCCAGAACAGACAGGACTTCAGTTTGCTGCCCTCTACCACCAAGCCCTAAAAAAAAATTTCAAACACTATATCAAGCTCAGGGGCCGACCAACACGAAGATGGGCACAGGATATAAGTGACTCCTTGAGTATAAAAAAGTACATGAGGCGGGAGAGCTGGTGAGAGACCGAGGTTTTTTTGTCAGGACAAAGGAATTGCTACATGATGATGATATCTGTGCTGGTATACCAACACATGTGGCACAAATGAAGTACTTTGTGTGCTCAGTACACCCTTGAACAAGGCAAAAATCTTGTTTCAGTATTACACCGAGACAACCTTGAAAAAAACTAAGGAGACCTTGAAAAAGACCTTGAAAAGCCTTGAAATTGATTGGTAAATTTGGCTATGGACCCTGTAAATAAGACTCTGGTTTCTACACAGTTGTGACGCATTCATTAATCTCTGAGCCACAGAACTACTCATGCATAAGTTTATGGTCTTGGGAATGTCTGCAGCAAAATTATCATGGTAAAGTAAAGGACCCTTTCCCACACCTTCAGGCGTATTGGGCATATAGGGTTAGTCTATACTTTATAGACCAATGTACGCTGCGTAATATGGTCAGCATCATGCTGGCCGCCTTTGCTACTTCCCAGGACTGCACCTGGTACCAATTTAGCCTGGGTCGATCTAGGAACCAAGGTCATTTTGGAAAAGGTCAGGCTCTGTCAGGACCTAAACACAATCTTCCAATCTACTGGAAGTTTCTAGTTGCTACACCATGACAGCATAAATGGAAAACTTACGATTGTACTACTTTTTAATATTTCATTAATGTATTGCTTATGTTGTCATTATCATCACAGTACGGGTAATTTTAATTCATTGTTTCATTATGTGCCTTTGATTATGAGAATAACGGCAGTATTTATCTATTTCTCTAAAATCAGTGCTTCAGATTCTTAGTCTGTTTCTGATATTTTGTTATGTGCTTTGATCTGTGTTGTTCTGCACTTATAAAATATATGTTGACTTTCAATATTATGTAAATCTGTGTTTGAACAGATGTTATTGTGTAAGACCCTAGGTTTTTAGTGGAAGCATTCATTATTGAACATGTGATTTGTAATGTTTGTGCCTATGCTGCGACCATGTGTTCACATCTGCTGTGTTTAATAGTTGTGAACTTTTCTTGCAGTCTGGCTTAGAGGTTACCGTGTGTTGACTTATGTTGTATGTTCATTAAACCTGGCTAGTTTTTTTTTTTTTTTTCAACAAAGCCATGGCATTGTTGGTGTAGTTTGGAATGATTTTTGACTATGCCGAGATGGTTTATATTGTAAACGACAGATTCAGAAAATGACCAGTAGCCTGTTATCACAGTTCTGTGGTGTCTTATATGTTTCATTGCTTGTACAACTGCTGGTTTATTGTAACTGCTGCATCCATCAATAGCATTTCTTGTGGTGGACTGTTTGTATTGGTACTTCTGACAG